GCTGCATTTCCTTTCAAACCGGGCAAAACTTTTATGATGTTTTTTGCAAGAGTCTTTCCTCTTACTGGAGCAGTAGTAGACCATTTTGTTCTATCTTTTCCATACAAAGCTTTTGGAACTTCCTTTCTGTTTAAATTCACATCTTCATTACTGGTACTAGCTGAATGTTCTTCGTCTTCATTTTGTTCGTCGGAAGGCTGCCATTCCTGCTCACTGTCCGTATCGTGGGTACTTAGTTCCTCTTCGTCTTCCTCTTCTTGATCGCTCTGGTCCCCAAACGTAAAAAGTTTTTCGCATGCATCACGTTTATCCTCCTTTTCAATAGTATTTTCATTGTATTCGTAAGTGGAAGATGACGATGATGCAGTATTATTCACGTCGAAATCCTCCCAGAACTCATCAGACTCAATAATTTGTTCCAGCTCTTTATCAGTAAGTCCTTTAGCCATTATAACCTGAAAACATCAAAAAAAAAAATACTTCATAAAAAAAAACTAAAAATGGTGGTTAAAACTTACCTTTTCATATAAAAAATACTACCAATAGTTCATAAAATATTCAAGTAATTCGGAACAAAATAATAACGTTTATACTATCCACCGGTCATTTTGACCCAGTGGCTGCCATTACAGTCGAATGAACTACGTCACTAGATTAAAACTACGATGCACATTTACTTCAACAGCGGCTGAACGAATACTGAACCACCGCCAGCTGTTCACGTTTAATATAAAGATACGAAGTGGGGGGGACCTCATATCGATGGGTCATTTTGACCCGTGGGTAGCTATTAAGGGTTAAAAACTACGCAACATGCCCCCACAATAGTTGGTTGAGTTAGAAGAGTAGTTGAGCACTTCATAATAGAGCAAGATAAATGCAATGTTAAGATGTACTGGTGCATCCGTCAGGTTTTTTTATAGGGATGAGCAAAAATAAAGGGTTAATCCAATAAACCGTTTTTTAAATTCGATTAAGCGGTTTTAACCGGTTATTTTATAATGTACGGTTAACCTGTTATCGGCACAGGTATTATGTAAAAAACTTCAAAAAAAAACCTATAAGATGTCATCTTGCAGACTATGTAGTTCTTAGGGCGCAAACGTCTGTCTATGGAGGAATCACTCAACTAAACTACAAGCATTATTGGATGCATATGTTTTGTGAGGCCGAGTGGTGTGTCTGTAGTTTTTATTTCTGAGAAGAAAGTTGGTTGAATAGCAAGATCGCATCTGGATGCTTATGTGTATTGGTCTGCATGTGTATAAAATCAGTGGTATTTGCTGTGTTAGAAAATCATTACTGAATATGCTGCCAATGAAGTATATCTATTAGCTGTGCCCGATTGGTTATTTATATGTTGTCCTTTCTGAAGGCGGGTTATGTTCAAAGTTATAAATTGCGAAAAACTTTGAGGAGAATTACGGGAAATCGTCACCGCGCCCGCGTTGTATGTAATTACTGTTTGCATGTATCTGGCTTGTAATTCGACAGTGTACAGTACATATAATTTTTTCTAATCTCTCTCATTTTTGAAATTCAGCAAATTTGCATATATTATTTCCAGAATGAATAAGAAAAAGTGGATGCGCAACTTTTCTTTTTCGAAAATTCACCATGACAGCGCGGGATAGATCAACGAAATGAAAGAAAATACACATAATGACAGATGTTTTATGTTCTTTTGGATCAAATTTCAGAATGGGCCCTTCTTGGCCATATCCGCACGCTGGGGGGTGCCAGGAGGGCCGTGGCTCCCCTTGAGAATTTGATTGAACGTAAATATTTGCATATTTAACATTATTTTGTATCCAATTTTGGGGTTTATCAGATTTGCTCTGATCCTGGAGATAGAAAAAGTTGGATGGGATCCCAGTACTGTATGCGTCCTGTAGCATCTCAACGACACAGAATGTGTGCTAAGGACACGTTTTTCTGTTGATTTTTTCACTTATAGGTGACGCCCAAACATCTTGCGTCCAGAAAATAGTCCCAGCTTGGATTGTTCCTACCCAGATTTAGTCAAAAACTATCAGTCAATGCACCATAGAATCCGGTAAAGGTTTGAACATGTGATGAATCATTAACACGTCATCTTATAGGAGCACTAATGACGTTGACAAGTAGTCGTAATTTTACTTTGCAGATGATTTTTGGCCCTCTATAATGTTTAAGTTATCAGACAAGTTCATTTTAGGACGGTACGTAGATCATGATTGATTCGCTTTTAACACGCTTTTATTTGCTTGGCCTGTATCTAAGTAACGAAATCTTTCTAAACTAAATTTCCACCAATGTCAAGAAGTCTGATTAATTTGAAAATTTGCACAGCGGGTCAAGTACCGATGACAGTACAATAATAGAACGAAATCAAATTTGACAATTTAAAAAAAAATAATTTTGAAAAATGGGATTTGAAAATTTGGAAAATAATTGGGAAATTAGTAAAGTTGAGAAATAATCTGAAGATTAGAAAATTTTGAAAAAAGTCGGAAAGTTTGGAAATCTCAAAATGAAAAAATGTTCAAGCCAAAGTTAAAGGCGAAGCTCTTAAGTAGTTTTGTTGTCATTTTGAGACTAATGCCACGCCTTTCTTTTTGTTAATTAATGAAACACAATGATAAATACTATCTAACCGTTGGTCCAAGCAAGACAGTTGTCTAGTGGCGTGCAAATTTAGGCCCTAGCTCAACAAAGCGGAGAGTAGGGGCGGGTTAAGAGCGCCAGTGACTTAAGACGGATTAAGCCACAACTCCCCGAGATGTTAGTCGGAACTTGTTCTGCTTGATCAACACACAAAAGGAGAATCTAACAGAGATGACGAAATTTAAGTAACAGTATACAGAGAGAGAGAGAGAGAAAAATAAACAAGATATTAAATGAATCACAATATATTGATTAATTAAAAAAAACGCATTGTAAATCTTAAATACAACCTGACAAAATTACTGTTCGAGATAACCCCGCGAAACGTCTACCATGGTATACGCCCGAAGTATTTAGAGATATTTTACGCCTAAATATTAAACTTATCTGTAGGTCTTCTTTGTCAAGCGCGGCCGAGATGTCCTCAACTCTGGTCAAAAAGTGGCCAGTAGTGGGCACGTCACTGGGCAGGGGCTGCTTGCCTCGTTGCCAAAAATTATGATAGTAACAAAAAAAAACCTAGATATAGAAAGACTGCTTAAAAATCTACTCTACTCTCTGTCTGAGATAAAACTACTCATTGAAAACAATCGCACTTGAAGCAAAACCATGTACATTTTTTGTACAAGAAAAGTAAAGCAAAGGCAAAAAAAAGATAAAAATGTACTAAACTAATATACCCTTGTTCTAGAAAAGTTATGGCAGCTCAAAAATCAAAATCATGATCAATGTTATAGAAGGTGCCATGTAGGCACTGCCCCCATATTTGAATACGTAGAATGTCCAATAAAATCAAGAAGTCTCTAAGAATTTCAATAAGCAATAATAAATGTATAAAGATCCATGAAATTGCTAGTTAGAATGATATCTCACCTGTACACATCAGGTTTTTTTAAAAGGGATGGCTTCCACCAATTTAAAACTGCAACAAGATGCAACCAACTGGAGGAGAAAGGATGATGATTATCTTCTGTTTCTACTGACTCGAAGAAAGCAGATATTGAACGAAGGTCATCAAGACACGCATTAAGCCACGTGGTCCGAGGGTATATAAAAAAGAACTTACCGCTGAGGGTCAAAATCCCATAAAAAAATGGAAGACGTAGCACTCAAACCAAAATGACTAAACTTAAGTTATACAAAAAAAGGGGGCTAGTCCATGAATTGGCGCTTGGGGCCTAATATCCCAGAGTCCGGAAAATGTCGAAACGACCCCTGCATCACGACCTCAACGGAAACATAAAAGTGAATCACGCAACGTGCTAGAAGAAGGCATCTTGAGTGGCCTTGAAGAAGATATGTTTTAAAGGAAACCAAATAACAAAGAAAAACTACAGAGTTTTTTGCTGATCGTCAACACCATACTGAATCGCTGAGAAAGAAAGATATAATACGAGTGAAATTATACAATTAATAAACTATTGAATTTGCCAAAAGAAAATCATTGAAAAGGGTTTGGCCTAGGAAGTGTTAAATCAGAGTTAAAAAAAATAAAACATACGCTTTAATAGCAAATGAACCAAAAAGAAGTAAATAACTTTTGAGTATAAGAAAGTTGTTGCAATAGAAAGTCCAACAATCAACTATGACTAATTAATTTGAAACATCAATATAAGAACTGTATTAACAAAAAAATTCAATCATAGTTAAAAAGCGTGGGGTGCAATTAACTATTTCTCCACCTTTGCAGCTAGCAACTAAAAAATAATTCTAACATTTACTATCGACCATTCCACCCTTTTTTTACTGTAATTTAATTTGTGTCTCAATTGTAATACTGGATTGTTGGACTTTCTGTTGCACTAAGACAAACACACACCAATATATTTTTTTTCTCAGAAATTGAAATTCTGTTCAACCTCCGTTCCATATAATTTCCATATAAAAGTGTGGCCGTTTTTGAGATATTGAATTTTTCTTAAATTTTATTTAAAAGTCTATACTTTGCTCATTTTTTCTATAAAATACTTCTAGATCGTTGCTTTATCATATACAAATGCAATGTAGTTAAAAGATATTAAGGAACCATGATAAAATAAGGACTGTTTTGGGATTTCTAACCTGCTGATATTGTTTCCTCAACTTTGACCATCTGTGGTGAAGCAAAAATGTACCACACTATACTGTAATTATTGGATTTAAATTTAAGTTACCGACCAATGACATGCTAAATAGTACAACACAACAATATAATGCAGTTATAGCCCAGTACATTTTTGTTTCACCACAGTTGGTCAAAGGTAAGTAAAAAATATCAGAAGGTTATAAATCCCAAAATACTCCTTATTTGAGCATGGTTCCTTAATATCTTTTAACTGCGTTGCATTTGTATATGATAAAGCAACTACCTAGACGTATTTTATAGAAAAAATGAACAAAGTATAACCTTATTTGTGCATGCAGCTAAAGACCACAGATGCAAAGGTTCGTTTTTTTTAAATCTAAGAAAAAATTCAATCTCCCAAAAACGGTGACACTTTTATATAGGTAAGTTTTTGTTATTGTGTGTTACCTTCTCCTTAAGTTTGTCGTGGTACTTATTGGACGCCCTGTATATTTATATATTATATTTTAAAAGGTCGGCTTTATTGGAATCAAACACATGTTTGCAATGACTATATATTTATTTTTAGGTAATATATAATGAACAAATCAATCTGTTCTATAGTCTATAAGACGAATAAATCTAGATCTTTCAGTATAATACACTTTTATGTACACTAGGACTCGAATATACGCGTTGTTCATATACTTAAAGCAATTTTATCCATTTATACTGAAATGTCAATTCAAAATAAAAATCAAAATGAAATGCAATAAAGGTGTATATATAATATGTATAGTATATCGAACATTGGTCCTTATGTGCAAGTATTGCTTTCAAATTATAAAAATATCTAGAAGCTAGTTCTACAAAATAATTTATCTATGTATAAATTGACAAAAAAATAGGGATTTTATCATACTTTATAATACAATATATATTCAGTAAAATGGGAAAAGACAGCGGAAGAAAAAAAGGAAAAACAATTTTTCATCACTTCATAAGCCACTACGTTTGGATATAGACGATGTCACGAGCATAAAACTATAAGATTTTATCCGAAAACAGGCATCAAATAAAGATGCATACAGTTGATGACTTTTGTTACTTTAAACAAATGTATGCAAAAACACGATATCTCTATATTTCGACGGATACCAAGGAAATACCGAGCAGATTAGACGATGCTAAAGTGAAACCTCAAAGTTGAGCTGGAAGAGACAACATATAGTGCCTTACTTGAAATGTCTACAGTCTGCAAGATTCCAAACAGTTACTGGTTTAAACTTTAGTAAAAATAAGCGCCTTTAAGTATCGAAATCATTTTTCTGAACTGAAATTTGACAGGACGTCAATTTTAGAATGTTTCACTATATGAAAATTAATTACCCAAGCAATTATTTTACATTCAAGGTTCATTTCATTTTATTTTACACTAGACTAAGCCCGCGGCTCCGCTCGCATGGAAGTAGTGTAAGGTATAGGTTATTTATTAGTGTGACGGAGATTGGTTTTGGAAAAAGAAATGCAATATTCAAAGTTATGCAATTAACATTTTAATGCAAGAATAAATTAACTTCAATAATCCCCCCATGGTAGTCTCGTCAACAAAACCACGTGTATTTCCTTTATTGTGAACGTTTCAATCACAAAGGTGATTAATTTCAATGTGTCGCTTTGTTTATATACCCAACGAAAAGTAAGGTCACTTGAAAATTTATCTGATTATCTGAAAAAAGGATATAATTGAACTTAGAGTTGTCCGCAATTTGCATTTCATAAAATAAAAACAGATGTTTCCGGCTAAAAATGCATTTGATCTTCAGATGACATTGATCGTCATAGTCATGATCAAGGACATACTTGAGGATGAAGTTGCTTGCTCTTTTTATTTCTGGTATCTAAAAAATAGTAAGAAGTCTGTTTTGACCTTTAAATGAGTATCAAAGGTCATAGTTACGTTCAAGGTCGCCACTGAATGAATTTCTTCAAGCCTTACAACTTTATTACATATTATTTTTTTAATGTATTTTGCCCTTCCCCTACTTTATAGATGTACTCAAATAATCATGAAGGTCATATTCTAAGACATTCTTTCCCCCAAAAATGTTCCGCTCTTCACATGTTTGGCGTCAAAATAGGGGTTTCGTTTAGAGTAAATAAAATCAAATTATTTTGAAAATTTAATATAATAGCAAGTATTCAAGCGATGTAATTAACATAAGAATAAGCTAGAATTTTTCTGAGATGGCTTTAATTCAGGCCTAATAATAGTTACATTCACAATAATTGATTCATTGAAACTACATATGAGAATTACTATAGTTCAATTTTTTGTAAAGTATAGCAGCAATTATCTGAATTTAACACTTGTATTACTCCGGAAAATTGGGCTATTAAGTGAAGATCACTGTCAAGGTCACGTTTGAGATCACCATAGGATGGATCTTTTCAAAACTTACAACTTTGCTCTACAACATTTTTCTCTAGGAAGAATACGGGTTTCATTTATAGTGAAAAAAAATCAAATTATTTTGAAATTTGATATAATGGCAAGTATTCAAGCGATGTGATTAATACAAGAATAAGCTAGAATTTTTTCGAGACTGATTTGATTACCATCTATAATGACACTAATAATAGATAAAAATCACAATACTTCATGATGAAGTTATATTGAAGTTACATATGAGAATTGATATAGGGCAATTATTTGAAAAGAATTATGCAATTGCCTGAATTTAGCCCTTCTATTACTCCTGAAAGTTAGGCATGGAGGACAGCAGCTCCTATTTTGAGTCTTTAACTTTAAATAACTTTGAAGATCACTGTCAAGGTCACGTTACAGATAACCAATGGATGGATCTTTTCAAACCTTACAACTTCACTCTACGTTTTTCTCTAGGAAACGTATTTTCCGATATATTTTGATCTATCTATACTTTTTGGGTTTCAATAAATAAGTGTACAAATGGACTGATCCTAGAATCTAGATTTTAGGAAAATAAACTATTACAAGCAATACCATTTACTGTAAAAAAAGATCCATACACATATTTAAAGCCTTTAGTATGCAATTAATTAAAATCGTGTTTGGTCTGGAATGAATTTGTTACCATTGTCAAAACTGTAAAGCCTAATTGCTCAATAATTGTCTTTTTGGGTTGGTTCCTTTCTGCAAAAAGCTGTCCAAATTTTACGTCTTTCCGTATTGAGGTTCAGATATGATTTTGACAGTCTGGACAGACATTCACATTTATACAGATATAGATTATGGTTTCAAGGCAATAATTCTAAGCTCGTGAAACGTCGTTTAGAGTCCATATAAATAAAGCAAACCAATTATCGTTGTTCATTGCTATCTTCTTTTGGACGGCACATAGTAAATTAAATGAGACTTGTAAGCTTTGCTGCTTCATCCAAAACATACACATGTAACACTTCATTTGTCTGTGAAGTTATCTTTGTCAATTTATGTTCACCTCAGTCAAAATCTATCAATTTTTCTGTCTATGATTAGGCAGCAAAATTTACAATTATCAGTCATGAGGGTCATTCCTCAGGCAAAGATGTTCAGCAAACTACATCTGATTACATCTACAAAATTTACTGAATGTGGATAAATACATTGTCTGGTTCGTGAAGGCTTCATTTTACACCGACAGGCTTTGAGCCCCTTCATTGTTACCACATCTGTTTCGGATATTACAGGTAAACCCAAATTGTCCTTTGCAAAAGTTTAACCAGAAATTCAAAGTTGTTAAAAAATTTTCTAAAGTTTGTAATATCTTAGGTTAAAAAGTTTAATTTGAATATCAGTATAGTTTTGGGCAATATAATGAATCCACCTCAAAATGACTATATGTAAAATGATCTATGGAATAATACTTGGTCGTTAGTAAGAGGATTATATTATTAAAACTATCACAAGTTGCTTATATAGATGTCATTAATATAGATATCTACGGAAAAAGAATTTTGTATATTTTGACTATATGAGAGTCTTATTGGTTCGATTTGCTCAAATTCGGTATGCATGTCGCTATTCCAAGACAAGTGAGCAAAAATTGGTGTTTAGATACAAATGTTGAGGTGTATCGGAAAAAAGCAAAACCACCATAGAGCTGAAATTAGTAATAAGTCTAGATAGTGTTTACAAATCTGACTATGAATTGGAAGATATATTTAAAACAAATGAGCTATCATTTGTGGGTTGGAAGGAAGTAGTTTTCGTTTTATGTTTCAAGACTTTTTTAACTTGAATTCAACTGATACTTTTCTAAACAATAATAAACCTAAAATCCTTTTAGATAAAGATTCCAGTTGAAAATTGTTTGCCACAAAATATTTCTAACACCTTGAGAAACTTGGTCTCGATTCTCCACTTAAAATTATTGTTACTTCACGAGCTCTCCAAAGAGACTGTTTAGCACCAACATTGAAACACTTTCTTAAAGATTTATCAAGTCTAGTTTATAGACGTCCCTTTAGGACTGTATGCCATTTGAGGGTTGATCTGCAGTTTTGAATAATGTATACATGGTAGCAATAACGCTTCCTTGAGGGTCGTTCAAAGGAGGATTTAATATTTGCATTTCACAGTATGCTACAACAGATGTAATCACAGGCTAACATTGATGTCAGAAAGATTTTTCTTTGGTAACCAAATGTATTTAGCATGTTATTGATAAATCTGGGACAGAATGTTTTATTTCTGTGCTAAATATTGTTGAATAATGTAAAATAGTAATGTAGTTGCTGCCTTGAATTTATAGCGGACTCGGAGCCAGTACTGCACGGAACTTGGGCTAGCTGTAGTTTGTACATCACATCTGTCAGATTCAGCATACAGCCTTGGTACCACAGATTATGGGCTACACTACTTGATAGCTTGGTACAGTATTTCAAAAAGAATCAAATCTTTCGTAATAATTTCATGTGTGAAACCAAACCTAAAAGGAATTTAGCGAAGCAAAGAAAATGCATCTGACCGAGATCCTGGATAAATTTAAAGGAATTGTTGAAAATAAAAAAAAAACAGATAGCTGTTCAATCACATTGACGGGCGATGCTTGAGAGCGAATTGCAAAAACCTTAACCAAAATAATACACCGAAAAGAACCCGTAAACAACTGAAAACATTGTGGAAGAACATCTAATCTAAAGCAAGTAGAATGATTTAGTAACAGCTGGGGTAATAATATTCTCTATAGAGTAATTTTTTAAAAACTGCCTTTTTCCTATTGGATGGGTTTTCCAATAGGGACTTGACAACTTTAAACTTTCACTGTGAACGCACCTTCAAATCAATTACCGAACTGTCAATGTCAAAACATTCAGTAAAGAAAACATTTTCATCATGATGAAGTACACGAACGAACAACGCTTACAAATAATTAAAATTCACTACCGAAATTCCGAGTTGGTAACTGCAACTTCAAGAGCGTTAACGACAACTTTTGGTCGTAGTTCTCGTCCCAGTAGACAAGCATTCATAGTCTAGTAAAAAAAACTTCATTCCACATATTCGCTGCTAGACGTTCTCGTGCCAGTGTGAACGGGTTGGTCGAAGTGCCGAGAATATTGCTGCCGTTCAAGCTTCCGTCGCAAACGAACAGAACACCTCGATTCCACGGCGTTCTCAAGAATTGGGCATCGCTCAGACCACACTATGGCGAATTTTGTGAAGAGATCTTGACCTGCACCCTTACAAGATCAAGTTAACTCAAGAACTAAAACTGTTCGATCATAAGAACCGACGTAAGTTCCCGATTGGGCTCTAGAAATGTTGCAAGAAAATGACCAATTTCATCGCAAAATCATTTTCAGTGATGACGCGCATTATTGGCTAAACGGCTTCGTCAACAAACAGAATATGCATTACTGGTTAGGTACAAACCCTCATGTGCTTCAAGAAAAACCAGTTAATCCACAAAAAATAACTGTATCTTGTGGTTTTCATGCCGGTGGTGCCATTGGGTCGTTTTTTCTTTTTTCGTTGATGAAAATGACCGTCACGTTACAGTCAACAGAGATCGCTACAGAGACATGTTGCAACATTCTTTTTTTTGGTCAATTGGGATTAGACGTTAATGATATGTGGTTTCAATAAGACGGTGCCACAAGCCACACAGCGGGTGAAAAAATCGACATATTGAAATCAAAATTCGGTGAACATGTTATATCGAGAAATGGTCCTGTCGAATGGCCGCCTAGATCGTGTGATTTGACATCTCTAGACTTTTTTTCTGTGGGGATACATTAAATCATTGGTCTATGCCAATAAGCCGGCATCGTTAGAGGAGCTCAGAGCCAATATTGAACGAGAGATAGCGGCCATTTCTGTCGAAATGTGTGGCCGGGTCATAGAAAATTCGGTTCAACGAATCGATCCTGCGAACGTGCCCGTGGTGGACATATGAACGAGGTCGAATTCCATACATAAATGTTTTGAGTATAATTCATAATTTTTGAGATATCTCAAATGGTTTGCGTTTTACTTAAAAAGAAAGTTGTCAAGTCCTTAATGGAAAACCCTATAGAATGGACTATTGAGACCAGACATTTCATGAAGGCTTAATTGTTTGCTTAAAATAGCGCATCGTCTGCATATTTGTTATTTTGAATTTTGGAATGTTTCAAAGAACAAAAATGCTAAGCTCTCATATAGAATATTGCACTTCAGAAATCAAACTATGGATATTTCCCTAGCAGTTAAAAAATCATTCTAGTTGATCTTTCTGAAGTCAATGACAGCCTAATGTGAAATGAAAATATTAAATCCTCGCTTGAACCTTCCTCAAGGAAGTGTTACTGTTGCATTGTTTCCAAGGGTAGATCAAACCTCACATGGAACTCAGCACTCAAGGGCTCTCAGTCGATGTTGATGGGTGTTACTTTACAAATAATAATCCCTTTCCGAAAACAGGTTTAATTTGAGGGATATCTGTGTAAATTGATTGAAAGAATACTTGAATACGTGATTATTAAATATAAAGTGAATATGTGAAGGATTTGCGTTTCTGCAATAAGCATCAAACATATATTCAATAACCTTGGGCACTTTTTAATGAATTAATATTGTTTCCAATGCTTTCACTTTTTTATACGCTACATAACGACGAAATAGAGTTTTGTATAAGTTTTATTTTCGGAAAATGTGGTTTTTCCAAATTATATGAGCAATACGTCAAAATTTGTATAGATGTTCTTCAAGTTTATCGATTATTTAAACGACCTGCAAGATATTTGCTATAAAGCACATTTGAAAATGTGGAATGTTGATCGATTTTTCCGGAATTATGTTTTTTAAGAATGCTCATTTCTTCTTAGTAATATTTTGTATCTATGTACCCTACGGATGTGTCATAATGTAAAATGTTTTCAACAGCTTCATTGAAGCTATCTTTTTCGCTGTTCATTCACTCTTATTTTTCGGAAACCATCTACGCTCTACTAAGTATTTAAACAACAAATTAACATTCGGTATTGCAAAAGAAAAAACTTGTTTGAAATATACATAAAACCAATGAATTGTGGGCTGATATGACTCTTCTTATTGTATGCTTTTTATTTATCTCGCCTTCCAAGGTACAGGCTGACAGAGACGAACCTTAAATGACGCACTGTGCTCCAGTTTTGAAAATCGAGGGTCCCCTACGAAGTATTTGCTTCGGGCCCGGGAACCTTAGATCCGCCACTGCCACTTCAACAAAATATCCCCTTGCGGGTGGAATGTGGTGGCATATATGTACACATTTTTCCTCTATACGCCTCTGTCACTAGACCAGAGTAGAAAACACGTACAAAAGGTGCGACAAATTCCATAAAAACTAATCTTGATTCATGCTCATCAATGCACCAAATTGCTGCTGGGCGTTGAGATGTTGTCGATTTCCCTTTGCGCTCTGCTAATCTTGCTCTTATCTTTCGGAGTGTCTGGCTCCCCGGTTTCCATGGCAAACATCTTCATCTTCTCCTTGAAGGAGAGCTTCTCTGGCACGGCTTCGCTACGGGTTTTGTCTTTCTGTTGGGCTTGTTCGGCCAGGCGACGAGCTCTTGGGTCACGGTACACCTACAAGTATATAAATTTGTTAATAAGGTAACATATGCCGACGATACTATATTGATTCACACCATGATTCACACAGATGTGGGACTCCAAACGTTTTTTAATATCGCATGTCCCTTTTCTTCAACAGCCTATCTGGAGCAGTATTAATAACGTTTGGTCTAATTGTTTCATGTTACGTAACAATGACATAAAAACAATGTGATAAATTTCTTATTTGTCAAATATGCATGTTTCTTAAATCGTAACTTGTTAATAAATAATAGTACAGCTCTAAAATTGTATGTGAATATTCCACTTTTACGGAAGAATTGTGCGGGTGATTACTTTTTATCACTTTCTCTCTTCAAAAAATCTTTACTTTTCTTGAAAACGCAATTTGCTACAAAATGAGGTTTCAAGAAAACAAAGATTTTTTGAAGATGAAAAGTGATAAGAATAAAAGTAATTACCACAATTCTACTTAGGAGTGGAATTTTGACATACAATTTCAGAGCTGTACTAGTATTTGTTAATAAGTTTCGATTGAAAATGCACAAAAATATTATTTTTTACAAAAAAAAAACTGGTAACGTTTTTTAGTGAGCTCCTTACCACACCATGCAATATACAGATGAAAATTAGTTAGAATACTGCTCCAAACAGGTAGTTGGACAAAAGGCTCATGAGGCTTTAATGCTGATAATGCTGGCGGTAAAGAGTTTGGCGTGATTCTGTACTCCAAGAAAACAAAAAATGGCGTCCAGTAAGTTGACTCTGTACTTCCCGCGCAACGCTGTCATCAATTCGTAAAACATTACAGTAATGGACAAAAGTATATAGACAAATTAATATTGTGCTGTATATCTTTTTTAACTTGTTTTATTAATAGACCAACCTGTATACATAATTCTTTATAGCATAATACTCACTTATACATAAATAAATTCATTAGACTTCCTGCAATAAAATATTAATTGAAAAAAAAAACTGGAACTATGAAGGACAAAATATATAGACAAAGCAAAACAATTATATAAAAAAGAAGCAAAGTTCATTGAATTATAGAAAACCAACCATGTTTGTGTTAATATTTTGTAGCATAACCATTATTATCAATCATCGCCTGGCATCGTCTCGGCATAGATTATAGAAGTTTCTTGATATACGATTCATCAATCTATCTCAACGTTTGCTCTAAAGCGGCAAAAAGTTCAGCCTTGCTTGAATAATTTTCGTATTTGCTTATCTAAGTATTACCATAGATTTTCAATGGGGTTTATAACGGAAGACTGTGAAGGCCATTTGAGAACTGGTATTTTTTCACCCCAAAAGAATTTATTTGCGAGATTTGAAGTGTGCTTCGGGTCATTATCTTGCTGGAAGATTGATCTTAAGGGAATATTGTCTTCCATATAGGGTAAAATGACATGCGTTAGTATGTCTGTGTATACAAACTTATCCATGCCATCTATTCTATGTAAAGGTCCCTTCCCAAACCCCGAAAAGCACCCCCAAACCATAACAGACATGTTTGACAGTGGGCAAAGTGTACTTGGGGTTCAATCTTTGTCCACTGGGACGTCTAACGTGATGAACACCATCTGATCCAAACATATTGAACTTGGATTCGTCACTGAAACATACTCTCTTCCAGTCACAGATGCTCCAAACAAGATGCATAAGTGCAAATTGTAATCAGTCCTTACGGTTTTTCCGCGAGATTAGCGGCTTCTTACTCGGGCGACGTGCAAATAACTTCAAATCATTTAATCTTCTACTTATAGTTTTCGTAGAAACACTGACAATTCCTTTTGTCTAAATTTCGCCTTTTATTGTCTTGGGGTTTTAAACGGATCTTTGGACGAAATTACTTTTATTAATCTAACTGATCTAGCATTTAGTTTTCTAGGCCGACCACTTCTCTTAGAGGCTTCCAAGATACCTTTTTGTTTTTATTTGTTCAATATTGCCCAAACTGCTTTACGCTTCTGCTTAAAATTTTTGGCAATGTCGACTTGACGTTGACCACGCGGCATGGTCTTAAAATCACTCAACTTATTCCACTTATTCCACTTGATGAACACAAACTAATCCTCTTCTGACACGAAATTGTACTAAACTGATGTTGAAAAGAATTTGTCTACATATTTTTGTCCCTCATAAAAAAGAGCTTATATTCAGACTTGTATTGTGTTCATTGCAGATAATGTAAAAACCAGGAAGTTAGTTTTTCTACTAATAACGTATTTGTTTATGGAGCAATGAAGTATGAATTCGTTTTCTAAAGGTATTTAGGTAAATATTCATATTTGTCTACATACTTTTGTCCATTACTGTATATATGGCACAAGTTAGCCCTTCTGAAAAAAAAAGTTACCTACGAACATGTATAGCAAGAAATTAAATGCACCACGCTCCTCCACCCATGCAACACCTAACTCACAATTTTTAACCGAAAATGATCAAGATCCCCTGAAATGTCATCGTCGCCCTTGGCAGAGAGTCGGAAATGATTGACATGGTTTTTCCTGATATACATGTATTATAACACGCAAAAAACATAATATTTCATTTGCAAAATTTTTCGCGATTACAAATTATTGTAGGCGTCGTAAGTAAAATGACGATCAAGAAAAGTGACAATGTACCGTCTGTGAAAACCACAAGTTCGCCAATTTTGCCCAGGAAAATAAACTAATCTCAAAAAACTCTTCAAGGTCTTTCAGAGCAAGGTTATAGCCTTGGCAACCTCAAAAATTATAATTATTAAACGAATGTTTAAGCATTGAAAATACCCGCACGGTAACCCAGATTTGTTTAAACAATTTTTTTGACCGGACGGATTTTCGAACAAAAAAGGTTTGCACTACCTTTTCTCTAAAGCTGACTATTTTCGATTCAATGAGTGAAAAGCCAGAAAAATGGGTATATTCAATGTTTGAAAACTCGGTTAAAAATTATAATTTTGACGTCGCCAAGTGTCCAAATTAAAGCTTAAAGCTTGCTTTACAAGACCCCGATTGGTATTTTGAGATTACTATATTGTCAAGCGACTTTTAACCTTGTCTGTTAGAGCAACACTGGACCAAGCACCTTGATAGTTGAATAGACAGTGAAATGAACACTGATAAGCAGTTCAAAGCCAGCATAAAACAAACAAGCGTGGCTTCATTCGACTAAAATGTCTTCTGTGCGATGCACACTTCAGTGTTCAGTCGATAGAATGGCTAAATGCGTTTGGTGCGTTCTTTTATATAGTGTCGAAACATGGACTCAACAGAAGATATCAATATATCGCAGCCTTACCTCTTGAGCTCCGATGACACCTGGCGTAGCAACAGAAGTTCCTCCACTGCCACTTGGATCTGTAGGCGTTGCTGGGGACGCGAGCATTGACTCAGCTTGGCGGATAAAACTCTGGAAGGAAGTATATCCAAATATATTTGCATTTCATTTAAATTCTCTCTAAGTGAAGTGATGTATTGTGATATTTTCACGGAACAGATATCGTAAGTCCAACCTGGCTTCCTTGTAATCACGCCGGCACATCTGTCATTATTATTTTCTTTGAAAGATGCTATTCAAACACTGGATATATATTTATGACTCGTTAAGTTTTGAATAACTAGATATTTTTGAGACAGGCTGACTGAGCTAACTGATTTTCTTTGTTGAAATTTTCGTACCAAATGTTGACTACTGAGTATGAGTAATGTTGAAGTGCAGCAAGCAACGGGAAGTGGTGATGATTTATAATGTGAAATGAAATTGAATATGCAGGTACGTTGCATGATGGATGAAGGATGCATTTCTAAAATGTGTTCACTAGGTTTTTGAGATATACCTTGCTATTGTTGGTGCAAAACAAATTGCTTAATCAAAATCCAGTATGCTGTACACAAAATACAAAATAAATTAGAAACGAATGAGTACAATGCCACACAAAAATGTCACAATGCTTTTGAATTTCGGCGTAAAGGGTTCATTATGAAAGTAATGCGCATGATTTTATTGCGACACTTCTAACGCAGCCGGTAGTCAGTTTACTCCTAGTAGTGTGAGCAGACGTGTTTTCTATTTTTGTAACACGGTGTGATGGAGCGTCCACAGTTTTGCGTAAAGCTTGGAAAGAATGCAACCTGAACATTCCAGATACTTCAAGAGGCATTCAATGACGTTTACATTCCAAGCTTTCAGACCGGGAACAAGGATGGCCGGAAGGAAGTAGCCGACGAACCCCGTTTTGGAAACCCAACTTCCATTATGGGTTTGTACCGCAAGGATAATCTGTCAACCTTTGGGTGTTCAAGAGATAGAAACACCGTGTTGCACGCGTGAGGACTAACATCAAAGAAACGGTGGAGCTCTACCATGACAATACCATCAGCCACACGCCATTCATCGTTATAAACTTCCTGGCCCGATGGTCCCCAAGCCCTCTTATAGTCCATGCGACTTTTTTTGTTTCCACAACTCAGGAGAGCGCTGAAATCAAAACATTGCGAGACCGTGAAAAACATGAGAAAGAATATTACCACGTTCCTGAGACACATATACCCGTCGAGGAGTGTCAGGGCTCTTCCGGAATAGCAAAAACGTCTCCACAAGTGTATTAATGCAGGAGAGCATTTTGAAAAATATGAAGCATTTGTGAAAGTACGATCACTAAATTTATTTTCCCAGAAAATTCGGATTGCTTCCATAATGGACCCTATACTTGATATTTTCCAAGAGTTTGGCTTCCTATGTTTAATATCAAAATAATTAATGCGTATCGCGGAACGTGGAGAGTCATTTGGTATTAGCGCATTTTCTAATTCATTGGCGTCTAGCATACACATTACGGGCGACAGAAATTGAACACTGACCTGATGTTTGCTATCGCATCGAAATGGTTTCGGAAACCAGAAAATTAGGCCACCTTTGACCTTTTTTGTCGACCTCGTAGTACAAACACTGTACTACTCCACGAGCCATCTACTGGTAACTGATATAATAAACCAGCTACAGCGACTACCTATCGTTAATATTGCACCCGTGCGTGATGGAAGCAACACACAATACCCATGGCTCGGAATTAAGCAACCGAGGCGGAGATTCGAACCCGCGAACCCTGGGTTGCTAGCTCGACACACCATCCACCGAGTTACCGAAACTCGCTGATACTATGTTTACTTTTCAAAGTTGGGCGTAAGTTTTTACCAAGAAAGAATACAATTCTGTCTATAAGCCCTCATATTTCTTTGGCCATCGAAACCACATGTGTTGGAAAAATGTTCTTTTTTGGAAATGTTTCGGTCACAACGGTCACCTTCAGTTTTTTTTTATACTCCAACTACCACGAAGGCCTAAGGCCTTAACACCCATGGGGTACCGTGGGGCTCTGGGGGATACAGGGGAAAGGGGAAACGCCACACGGACTCTGGCGAGGCAACACGTGTGCATGCAACATGCACACATTCTGGCCCCACCTGCGAGATCCGCCGGGTGGTACCTCCGCGTTCGACAGTCAGAGACTGTCTACCACCTACGGACAATCACAACATCCAAGAGAAAAATTTCTCCTGGGACGGGATTCGAACCCGCACAGCGCACGACGACTGATCAGGAGACCGAAGAGTCTACTACTGCGGCCACCGCTGCTGCCTTCAGTATAATGACCATGACAATATATTTTGTCAAGTATTATGAATTTATTTTACTGGGGTACTCAAACGTACTCCACAACACAACATTCCTCAAAAAGCTCATTCTACATTGTTTAAGCTTCAAGTAATAATTTTTCCTCATTTTACACAAATTCTGGAATGACAACATTGTAGCGTCGTATTTAATTTGACCGGATCCAAATGATCTGAGAATGTTTGACCACCCGAAACACAGCTGGCAAAAACACGGTACATATAGCGCCCGAGATACTACTAATTACCCAAGTGTGTCCCACCAATCCCGCGTCGTCGTGGCTGTCATATGTCCTAACCTCAATGTCCATCGTGTGCTAATCTATAATCGGCAACACGTCCAAGGTCACCGTTGTGACCGAAACGTTTACAATAAATAAGATTTTTTCAACATGTGGTTTAGATTTACCAGAGAAATATAAGGGGCGTCAACATGACAACCATAGGATAAGTTTTAGATGTTACATTAAATCTATCTATGTATACATATCTGTTCAAACTGACAATACTACTTACATTCGGATCTTCCCGTACAATCTCATCAAGCTGCAACGTGGTTGGCGGTTGCGACTGTTGCGGCGACTGTGGAGAATGCTGTTGCTGCTGAGGAGAAGTGCTGTTAGCCGAGGTGTCGTTGAACGAGACCCGTTTCGTGGTCTCCTTCACCCTCATGGACATCACAGTGAAGCTAGAGCCCCTTTCTGGAGGTGCAGGGGGCTGAGCTTGACTCTCGATTGGTGAATGTTGTTGCTGCTGCTGTTGTTGTTGAGGTTGAGGCTGGTGGGGTTGTTGTTGTGGCTGTTGGTGTATTTGAGAATGGGAGTAGGATGGCGTTTGGTGTTGTTGTAATCTGGAACAAGTAACGAAGATTGTCAAAAGCAGTACGTGAAAGCAAACCGCTGATACCAACTCAAGTAAATATGAGCATGACAAGCTTCACAGAGCGTATAGATCAGGCATGTGTTTTAGTATCATATATACTTAAGATTCCAGATAACCGAGATATTAGGATCCAAAAAAGCAATAAATGAGTCAGTACAACCTTGCCACCCTTCCCTTCCTCAATACCCTTCTACGTCGAAACGTATAATGTTTTACTAAGACTATACGAGTCAGTATCCAAATCAAGCGTCGCGTAGTGTCTATGTTAACCTAGTTTTTGAACAAACCACATTTGAAAAACCGCAATTGGCACATTCCTAGAGCAATAACGTAGTTATGGTTTTGATATGAGCATCTTCCAGATCCTCTTGATACCCAGAACGATGTGATCATCCTCAATGTTTCTTTCCATCGGAGCTACATATGTTTGTTAATATCCGTGAAGAAGCCGACTGGTTGAACACAGTTGAAGACCTAGACGGCACCAAATGTAGCAAATTTATGAAGAGGTAAACAATTCGTGTTTTTGAACTTTCAATTTCAAGCAGTATTTCCAAACAAAACGTGACCAAATGAATGGTATTTTTCTTCTTTCCTACGTTTTCGTTGTTGCTTTGCCGCAAATTAGCTTTGGTATTGCAAACGCAGTTGACTCTGAAAAGGAAACTCCCAACATTCAGGACACCCTATATCTATGGTATTTAGAACTCCATTTTGAAGGATAAAAAACGCATGCTGTTGGGGCGGATTAAGCAGAATATCGTGGCACCTATTTGAGGTTCGAAAAAATTTTAATTTTCTGATTTGCTAATTTATATGATTTATAGGTGCGTAGGGATTCGCCCTGTCAATTACACAAGATGGCGATAAACTGCTGACGGAAAAAAGCAGAAATAATTAGCATTTAATCAAGATTCTGATGACAAATTCCCTGTTCAATTAAAAAGGTTTTACAAGTTTGGAAAATCGGCGTGCCGAAATTTTCGAAAAAAACGGTGAAATATGCTTCCAGTAACGTCTATATTTTTTGTATACAAAGGGTACTATAAAAGTTTTGAAATATGACAACAAGTGGACATAGGAGGCTGCATGTTACTGCATGTTGAGACATGACCATGAGTGCATAGTAGCCGCCAGCAACACGTCTCTTGATTTAGTTGTTCATTCATATTGACAGTGTAAAGTGCGGACTATGGCATCGTGGATACGTAGTAAGATAAGGGCAGTTTTACGGTATAACTTTACGCGTGCTTCAAGCATAGACCAATGCTTAGAAGAAATTACGCTTGCATTAAAGAATGATTGTCCTTATCGTACGACTTTATTCAGGTGGTACAGAGGATTCTAAAGTGGCAATTTCACCCTAGAGGACGCAGAGATGGAAGGAAGGCCGCGAACGTCAGTAACAGAGGAAAACGTTTTTGATGTGAGAAAAATGCTTGAAGAAGACCAGAGAGTAACACACCAACAGATAGAGGAGCCCTTACACCTTCATACACCAGAAATTCATTCAATTCTGCATGACCATTTACACGTAAGGAAACTTTGTTCTCGCTACGTACCGCATAGTCTGACGGAAGAGCAGAAGACCCGTACGACTTGGTGCCGAAAGATGCTGAAAATGTTTAATAAGGGGCAATCTCACTATGAGAACAGCATCGTGACAGGTGACGAGACTATGCTCTATTATTACGATGTGCCGATCAAGGCTCAAAACAAAGTTTGGGTCTTTGATGATGAGGACACACCCGTAGCTGCCAGAAAATCCAGATCTGTTGTGGAGCGCACCGTTTTGGACACACAGAAGACAGTCATAGCTATGTGGTACTCGGAACAGTGCCTACCTAAAGTCATAGAGTCTATGAAAAACCTGTGGCCAAAGTCAAGAATGAACACTTGGTACCTGCACCATGACAACGCTCCAGCTCCTTACAGTCCAGATCTGGCTCCCTGCGACTTTGTACTTCCGCGTGTGAAAATGAAGCTAAAAGAAAAACAGTTTCCTAGCGCTGATGACCTTCTGAGGGCTTGGGATAACGAGTGTGCTACACTCCCGGATGAAACTTAGCAGAGCTGGTTTAAGGACTAGTTTTGGCGGATAGAGAAATGTATTGAATGTGGTGGAAATTACTTTGAACGAAGTCAATAAATAAAGCTGTATCGCAAAAGTTTTATAGTACCCTTTATATAATTTGGTTGGAAGATTTTTTTCGTTCTATGGATAAGCGCAAAGATTGTTAGAAAGACTGTTTCATTATGAAATAGGATGTAGTCTAAAATTTTCAAATATAACCTCGGATGCGTTCAAGGTTTAATTTATGAAAAACCAATACCTTTGCCACGGCAATCAAAAAAGTATGCAAAATAGATTAAAAATTTACGCAGAATAGAAATAATAATATCAAATATGTGTACTTGAGGTTTTTTTTCAATTATTACTATCATATGATCCTACTGATACATATTTTCAAGTAGGTCGGTAACATTGATTAATCTAACTAATTCATAGAAATCTTGACTACTGATTTGGCTACCTAAGTTTTGGTCAGGGGAGGAATTTTAAAGCTTATCGGCCTTTTCTAACTCAAGAGTGAGATTCTCTTGATTGCGGCACACTTACTGAAACGTCTATGACTACCTTGCTCCGAAAACACCGCTACTGATCTCGAAAATTATCTTAACTACACAACCTTCAAGCATCTAAAATAAAAGGTCCTAAATAACTCACCCGTTAGATGTACTGCTCAAAGCATTGCCATTAGATTTGAGAATCGAAGTAGGAGATAGTTGTGATGATTCCAATTTGCTGGTGCTAGTTGTTGTCGTCAGAGAACTAACAGACTGTGTCGTGATGGTTGGTAGAGGTGGACTAGGACTGGGCATCTTTGGCGATGGACTTTCCTGAAGACATACATGCTCCGAAGTAATAAAAAAATCTTTTTATCTTGTTTTATATTTCTAGTTTTCCCAGCTTAGTATTGGTTTTCCAAAACTACAGCTTTTTATTTTCTGTGACAGAAGTTTCCATCCAAATAGGAAAAAATCGATTAATAAAAGGGCCAAGGATTATCCGGTTTCTCCCATCGCCACTGTTTTTAAAACTATAGAGCCCCTTCGTCTTATGTGACATAGTACCCGACTGTCAAAATTTCAAAATACAAATCGTCCCGTTCAGATTACAGATCAATTATTATCGGAAAAACGGCATAATGCAATTAAACACATTCAGATTTGAGAAACCATGAAGAATACGTGGCTAGATTGTGGATCTCTGTGTACTGATCGACCAGCCAAAGATTGCTAGGGACGAAAGGGGGAAATGCGATGAAAAAACCTTACCATTAGACGATTTTATATGGAGTCATAGGCGGAGATCGGAGAGACTTGAATTATTAATTGAATTTATATTTTATTACAACTGGTAGTATTAATATTTTTTTGCGATTCATAATGACGTGATACCAAACATACATTATAAGAAATAAATATACACAAACACTGAATATTGAGAACAAAATAAATATATTTTTTAGGCAACAAGTAATATTCCTATGTACGCATTATGATTGAACAGCAAAACAAATTATGCATTCTTCTAAAATAGAATACAACAAGTCAAAAATATCTGACTGAATAGAAAAATATAGGAAAACAAAAAGTAATTTCTTGATGAAATAACCCATAAACAACACATAGAATTAGACTTTCTACTGAGATACTAAAAGCCACAAACCAATAGTATAATAAATGAATATCTAAAAATTCTAAAAGGTAGCCAATCTAGTATAGTTTCAATCCTGATTAGAGTCATGATCACTGTCTGAGGAACTGTCATTGCTATCACTTTCACCTCCTATGTTGATTATTATTTCTTCCTGTATTTCTTGAATGAGACTGTCTTTTTCCCAATATTCATCTTCAATTTTTATAACATGTCCAATAACCTTTTGCCAGTCACTGGCACTTACTGAAGCGATGGCCTTATTAGAAATTTCATCTAGTTTTTTTATAGTAAATTCGCCGCTTGTATTATGGCTTCTAATGAAAAATTTTACTTGTGCCCAAATCATCTCTATGGGATTAAACTGACACATATAGGGTGGCGTTCGAAGTGGGGTGTGTCCGAAACTTCTTATTAAATTATCTATCTTATAATTTTTCTCATCAGATGGTGGCCTATGTAGACAAGCTATTTCATAAAGCTCCATTTTTTTAGCATTAGGATCATGCTCTATACCTTTTTTGCTCAACCACGTGATGATGTCTCTTTTTAGAGAAGATCTAGTTGGAGGCTTGTCTTCCAAAGCTGAATGGTAAGGTGCATTATCCATTATTATAATACTATTAGGAGGAATGTTAGGAAATAGTTTTTCAGTAAGCCACTTCGTGAAATTTTCTTGGTTCATTTGACCGTGATAATCACCAGTGGCACAGCCAGCCTTGAAAATGAGACAGGCTCCAGGAACAAAACCATCTTGCGAACCCGCATGAACAATTATAAGTCGTCCTGGAAATGAATAAATAGCCTCATTTTAGTGTTATTTTAAGTTTGCCAACACCTTTTTGAATCACTATGTATAAAAAACATATTTTTGAGAAAAAAATACTTGCAAGGGATTATGTATTCAATTAGACAAATTAAATGAGCACTTATTAAGAATATTCCAAAATTGAGAAAAATGTATAATAAGCAAAATCGAGGTGAAAGAAACTTTATTACCTGTAGAACTTATATTGCTCAGGACACCCATAATTTCTTCGCTTTGCCAGCATTTCTTGAAAGTGAGGTCATTATCAACCCAAGTTTCGTCCAAATAAATAATATGCCTTCCTTCTTCCCGGAACTTTTTAATAGACCTAAGATACTTGTATCGCCAATGTAAAATACTGGGTCTTTCCATTAGTAATTTCCTTTTGTTGTGGCATTTACGCCAGTAAAATCCTTTTGCTTTTAAAAGCAGCCTCAACGATTCTTTACCAAATGGAAATTCCATTTCTTCCTTCAGTTTGATTAGAAGTTTACTACAAGTAGGTACCACTTTAAAATCACAGTAAAATTTTTCTATCATTCTCCGAATAATGGAAAAATCGACTCCATCAATTTTTTGGATCACAGAAGGGCGTGATCTCTTTTTTCCGGGAGAAGCTAAAGGCTGTGTGGAGGTTGCATTTTGCCTGTCTTTATCTTCTTTTCTAATTTTACTTATAGTTCGTTCACTAACACCCGTATAATATGCCGCCCTTGCATTTCTAGCTACCAGTGGATAAACGAAAGTATTGTTAGCCGCTTCTGCATCGCAAGCACGTATCACGTTTGCTATTATTTCCCTTGCCTGGCTGTGAATAACTTTCCCATGCTTGAATTCCATTATCACCACTAAACAGTAAATTATATTTTCAAAGTATTTGCCAACTGCCTACGCCTATGGGAGTAGGTTTATAAATGACCGTGCCATCGGCACGTTATTCTAGTTTCAGATAAGATAAGAGTTTTGGACCAATCAGCGACCGGATGTTTACCTGCGGCCTGGGTTTTCCAGCTACATTGCCAAATTCAGCGGAACAATTCTATATCTTAAATATGTTAATATGTATGGACCGCATTTTATGTAGAACATCTGACAACTTCGCAATTTTTTGTCCGCATTCTTTCGGCTTGCAATCTTTCGCTGGTCCAACATTAAGTGGCATGCATATATTTTGTCCCATAGTTGATCGCGATTTAACAACAAATGCTAGGAAATTAATTTTCCCAGTAAGAGAATCGAACAACTTCATTTTTGAAGGGTACCAACGTTCCAAAATTTTCCTAGAATGGTGTAACAGTCAATTAGGGCAAAGGCAGGCAAAAGAATCCATCATAAAACGAAAGCCCGCATTTAAAGAGGACCTACTCGTATTTAATAGGGAGGCCATATAGGCCATAGTGGGTCTTCTGACAGGATACTGTAGTCTAAATCGACATATGAGGTCTTGGGTCTGGCAGAAGACGTCACCTGCCGATTCTGTAGAGAGTACGAGGAAACCATAGTGCATGTCATGTGTCACTGTGAAGGCTCGGCAAGATTTCTGTTTCATCGGATATTAGGAATCGTAACTCCAACAGTGGAAAGCTACATGCAAAGCCCTGGCTATGGAATCTAATTAAAGGATTAAGGGTGGACACAGTTCCTTAAACAGTGTATATGGAGGGTCACAACAGATCCATAATGATTGCAGTGGCGTTAAATCTAGCAATTAGCAAGCCAATCCCTTTTCTGCAATATGTTGTCTACAGTTATAGGGATGTATAGTTTATCTTTTGATAATATTAGTTCCCGATTTGGATGGCTGGGCATGCGAAATTATAATGAAGTGAACGTCTGTGGGTTTGTAGCATCAAAGGTTAAAATGACAAGGAGCGCCAAAAAAGTGTATAATGATGCAATGCCACGTTTTATGGCATTGTTTTCTTTGTCAACTAGTCTAATCATATTAGACGAAAATACCCCTGGTTTGCGAGAGTAAAATGATTGATATGATGGTTTGGTGATATCATTTTCGACTAGTTTAAATCGTTCTTTGGACACCCGAAAATATTCAATAAACTTGGTATCGTTATTGCAGAAATGGTTCAGCAGTTAGTTGCAGCAACCTTCTCTGTTCCTCGTCATAAATAAGTTGTGCTTTCTTCGTCTTCTTTTTTTCAGTAACATCCGAATCAAGCAAGCGCCATCCTCTTCCTCGTCGAGCAAAATAAGAGTTATAATCGTTTCATCATCCATTTCTGAACAAGTTGAAAGATCGACATAAGCAAACGTGAAAAACATGACTTTACAATCATTTCGGGGAAATGTGCTAATATGATTAGACTAAACCGACACACGACACGATACAACAACAATATGTAATTCATGTTTTTTGTAATTCATAGAAAATTAGTCCAACCAAAAAGAGTTTAGAAAAAATGTCCATTAGACTATGCTCTAGTTCAGATAGTTGCATGTTTATCAGATACCCCCTTAAGAAATACGCCAATTTTGGCTGCAGCTGTCTGCAACTTTTACAATTATGCAACATCATACAATAATTGGCAAAAATACCTTGAAAATATGTAATCTCCAAAATTGAGCACAATAAAAACATGTTTTGCAATTATGCCTGCCATTTTTGGACCTCCATTTTGGTTTTTGGAGAAACGATACTAAATTCATTATCAGCGAACCTTAAAACAGATAACACTCAAATTCGAGAGCAAACGAAACATTTTTTCCATACATTGATTCCGAAAAATATAGATATCTAATTCGTTACCAGCGACTTGGAAGTCATACATAATTGGAATTTGAGCATAATCCAAGCATTTTTCAAACCTGTACTCCAAATTGGATGTTTATCATGTGTTGTCTCCGACTTGTAAATGAAGTTTTTTTTGTGAAATTTAGTAGCCTTTCATGATCATGTTTAGGAATTTTAAGCCACTGTGCATCGATTTGGGAGAATACGCTCGGAAACAGACAAACAAAATAACAATTCTCAAACCTTTTCTGTATCGTCATCGTCCAGCTCAGCCGCTTCCATGGCCGCCCTCCTCTGGAATTCCTTCTCTAGCTGTAACACCCTCAGCTGCTCCTCCTGTTGAGGCGTACGTCTCGGCAACGCTGCCAATTCTCTGATCTGTTGCTCTTGCCACTGACGCGCCGCTTCTCTTCGCACCTCTTGCTGTCTCTCTTGCTCTTCACGAGCCCAAGGGTCGCGCGCTGGAGGTTTGTTGCTAGTACCTGGTATGGCTGAAGAGAGTAGTCGATTTATTGTTATAGAATGCGGTCATGCGATGAATATATATATATATATGGGGTTGTCCAAAACGGACGCAGGAAAGTAAACGCATATTAAAACACGAAAGATTGATATTCAAATCAAGTTGGGTACTTTATTTTGAAGGTTCATTTATACCATTTATGTATGAAAAATAATATCGCTCAAATGTTCACCACGACTGGATTTACAGACGTCCACGCGATGATCGAAATTTTCAATGACATTTTGCAACATGGTCGGTTCTATGGCATTTATCTCGGCAATGATGTTGTTTTTGAGATCTTGGAGGGTGGCTGGTTTGTTGACGTAGACTTTGCTTTTCAAATATCCCCATAAAAAGAAGTCCAAGGGAGTCAAATCGCACGATCTTGGTGGCCATGGCACATTTCCTCTGCGCGAAATCACGCGATCACCGAAGAAGGACTGCAATCGATGGATATTGACGTTGGTTGTGTGGCATGTTGCACCGTCTTGTTGGAAATAAACATCGTCCATATCCATTCCTTCAAGTTGCGGCAAAAAATAGTCCTCTAACATCACGTGATATCGCTCAGAATTGACGGTAACGGCGTCCCCGGCCGCATTTTCGAAAAAGTAAGGTCCGATGATGCCTTTTGACCACAATGCACACCACACAGTCACTTTTTGAGGATGCATCGGCTGCTCTTGATACTCACGGGGATTTTCGTTCGCGGCAGTTTTGCTTGTTTACCGTCCCATTCAAAGTGAAATGCGCTTCGTCGCTGAACATGATTTTTGATGAAAAATTGGCATCAATTTGGCGGTGTTCAAGGAGTCAATCTGAGAACGTTCGGCGCCAAAAATAGTCGGCCCGACGCAGCTCTTGCGTCAATTGGATCTTGTAGGCGTGTACATTCAAATCCTTGTGGAGAATGCGGAGCAAACTGGTTCTCGAAATGGCCAATTCTTGGGATCGACGCGTTGTTGATTGTTTCGGATCGTCTGTCACACTCTCCTTCACAACAGCAATATTTTCCGGTGTGCGAAAGCTCCTTGGCCGGCCAGAGCCTGGCAGATTTGCCACAGAACCTGTAGCCTCGAATTTACGCACCAGACGACCGATGGTTGTTTCGTTTGGGCGGTTGTTGCGACCGAAATGTTCACGAAGCGCGCGAAACGTGTTTTTTATTTTTGCACCATTTTTGTAGTGCTCTTGAATAACTTTAATGCGGTCTTCAATCGAATACAACTCCATAGCGATCAATGGTAAACATTCAACTAACAAAATGACATGTCGGTGACAGAAAACAAAGATGGCGTCTATGTCAAATTGACGTTTACTTTCCTGCGTCCCTATTGGAGAATCCTTTATATATATGGACAAATAAATGCCAATTTAAGGGAATTTGTAAAGTCTATGGACTCGTTACTTGAGTTAATCTTCTGATTTTAGGATAAAATGTTCAGTGATGCATTTTATTCACAAATCCGACGTTTCGACGTTCATTTGATGGGTTCTTCAGGGCTTAAAAGGGGCGAGGAAGTATCGTAACCGCGCAAAATTTCGAAAACGACATATTTAATTTTTGGATGTTATATGACATAAGATGTAAAACCATGTCTCTCATTTCCTGACAGTCTGTAGGTCTATTCGTCTATCTATAACTTGGAAAGTAGCCGTCGGATTTTGATAAAATTAGGTTACTACTAAGCCAAGAACCAAAAAGGTTTGTTTTTGAGAATCGGTGCAGTGGCGGCAGAGAAAAACGAAAACAATTACAATAGCTCAAAGTTTGTTTTTTAACGTTTCAGAGGATCCTGGTATTTTTTTTAAGTTTAGAGTAACAAGTTGGGTGGGGGAGGGTTAACTCAACTTTTAAGCACCTATTATATTTCACACATCACAGATTTCCCGGTAGATTTGCCCTTAAAACGGAATAACAGAGAAATACGCGTCACAGCCTCTGCCGACTCAATTTGTTTTATCTCTTGTCATACATATTCGTACATTTTGTCTCAAAAAGACTCACTTGTGCTGAACATATAATCCTTGATAAACTGTGTGAGAAACACAGAGTCAACCTAATCGACGCGATTCTTTTGGGTTGCAAAAGGGATATTGTTGACTGGTAGAAGATCAAAGTTACAGAATCCAACAATGACAAAAATCACTCTATAAGGTTTTGAAATGCTTGAAAATCCACCATCACTAGATTTAACCATGCATTAATAACTTAAATTGAAAGAGTTATTACAGCAATAGACGGGTATTCTGAAGAGCTTCTAGAGAGTCCAGAAGCTTTTCCAATCACCTGACATAAGGAGTGGATCAATTTTCCTTTGTTATAATCACCTGTAGGGTAAAACGCCATCTTCGGCGGATCCTGCAAGCTAGCCGAGTACAAAGGATGGGTGCTCGTAGGAGGCGGTTCTGGAACATCATCCTTCTTGTGATGTGGTTTGGGCGCCACAGGTGGCGTTTTGTACGTTGGTGACAACGGGTTCTGATAAGAGTTCTGTTGAGGTGGGTACGAGTTCTGTTGGGAAGAGTAGGAGGATTGCTGGGGCGAATACTGCTGCTGCGGGGTGTGATTGAAGGTGGGGTGCGGGTTGATACTCAGGTTCTGCATGCTCTGCGCGTTCTGGGACATCATGTGGTTGTAGTACTGTTGCTGGTAGTAGTCGCGCTGTTGGTTGTACTGGACCTGTATGACAGTAAGAAAATGTTTAAAATATAATCATTTAGACATACAGTAGTGCAAAATGGTATACTTGATATTTTCTCAAGTTGAATAAACCAAAAAATCCGCATTTCCAAATTTCAGATTCGTTAAGCGCAAAGTTATGGAAACTGTCCACAACATAACATAGATCTACAAACGAGGCCGAAGCAAAAAAGACGATATTACGCAGTACTTTATGACGCCGGCAGGGAAAACATCATGCCAATATAACGAAAGAATTATTAATTTACAAGAATAAATTTACAGTATTAGTCTTTGTAATAAACACAAAAGAAAATTAATTTGGTCCATTGTTTTTTTATCCACTGTTCAAATCCTGTATGACCTCTTAAAAACTTGCTCTCACGCCAATCTTTGACATCTCGGTTGTGGTAATTCTTGTAAAGAATATCCCACAAGCAGGGGTGTTTTTCAACAGCCACTATAGATGCTTCTGCTTTACACATGTTGTCCTCATGCACTCGCTCTTAAAGAAACGTCGCGACGTCCAATATTCACGGCGCGTGATGCGATTTTGAGTGAAAGTTTCCAAACTTGTGCAGCGATACATAACAAATACAAGATAGTGCTGCGTTCTACATGACGTCATTAGGTTTTATCCGATTGGTTTTCACGAAGGCGCGGGCTGGCATTCGAACCGTACGTTCGGAATGTATTCCGTTCGAAAAAAAAAAACGAACGTGTGTGGCAGTCAATGTATATTATTCGCGTTTGATGCATTCGGGTCTCCGAATACCGAAAACGAATACGGAAATCGAACGCGGAAAACGAACGTATGCGGCCAGCCTAAAATAAATGTTCAGTTCCACCAATTTTGTTTCTCGCTACCTTTTTTCGGAACATCTGGAATTCATTCTTGCAAATTGTGGTCATTCCTCTATCAATGACTTAATCCATAAATCTGGTCAGTCTTTAGACAAAAGATTGAGTTTTTACCAGCATTTTGGAGAATAGCAAGAATTCCAAGCAATGAGCATGTAACTGTACCCTTTTTCAAATCATCACCGCACAAAGGGAGACAGAGTGAGGGGATGCTTTCTATCCGGGAACCGTGTCATGTATATCATCCACCAGAACATTATATCCCGAAAAGATTTCTCAAATTTGCTGTCGCTTCTGCCGATTAAAGGCTCCGTTTTACTGCGGCATAAGCGTGCCAGGCACGCATTTTTTTCAGAAAGACATTCATCCCAAAAAAGGTAGCTACCCCAAGCAAAATGTTAACTGGCATCGTCATGCAATTTTTCTTTGAATAATTTGAAAATTCCAACAACAGGTATTATGTACTTACCCTGTTCTGCCGCCTCCGCACCTCCTCGCTCATCTCGGCCAGCTTGGCCGCCCCTCTCAAGTGTCGATCCTCTTGGACCGCTCTCGTCACTAAAGGTCCGTCCACCTTGGCGACGTTGCCGCTGCTGGCGTAACGCGAGATTTCGCCGATCGCGTGATGCTTTAGAGCGTCGTCGCTCTTCGACGGCCGGATTTCGGACGGGAGGCGATCCGTTGGCAGATCGGCGAGACGGCTGGTGTGGATCGCAGGCTGACTGGGGTACCTACTACAAATTCAAACTTTCATTTTTTATAAATAACCATAAAAAACAGTTTTTAAATGTGATGCAAATGGTAGCACTGCATTGCCTACCAAATTCCACTAAAAAAACAGCTACTTAATACGGTACATTGCTAGATGAGGTACAAAACTGCTACAAACTTTCTCTCTTTCTGTTTTCCTTTATGCTTAATAACAGTATCATTATACCAAATTCAACTTCAAGAGACAGTAATCAGACCACCCACAGCCGTAAGCTGGGCCAAGCAACTGCGTAGGTGCAGCGCGCTGATTGACCGATCGGCAATGATAGTAGCACCCTCTTAGTAACAAAAAGAATAGGTCGGGATCGATGCTTCACTTATCTATTCGTATATACCGTTGCTCACGGATATAGCCTGCTAAGTTTTGTTGCTGTGCGAGTAATTGTTATTTTTGTTGTCGTCTCTGTTTTAATTTTGCTACTCGTTCGTGTTCAAAGTATTCCGACAGTATTACATTGAAGATGTCCAGTACAAGTCCTGCTAATGAACCCATTCACCGTGACTTCAAGTCCACCCAGGAAGACGTCAAAGAGGAACCACTTGGACGTGGGACTCAAAGAAGTTATTCTGGACGTATATAAAAGCGAAACGCAAAAAAATACAGGGGCTGCTATTGACAGCATCGTGCGCGAGGTTGCGGTAAAAATAGGTGTATCCAAGCGCAGCGTTTATAGAGTTCTGCGTGAGTATATACTCACTTGCTGCACTTTCGACAAACCAAAACCGAACTGGGCTGATTTTGTAGATAGTGGCGATAGTACCGCAATTAGAAGAAAAGTCCATGGGTTCTTCTTCAGAAATGAAATCTCCACCATCCGTTAATGATGACAAATGCATTAACTAACTTCAAGCGAACAATTTATAAGCTATTGAAGCAGCACATTAACTTTGTGTTCAAAAAACGAGGACGACAGAGTATCCTTTTGGATAGAGATGCCATTATCTTATGGAGAAGAGATTACCTCAGAAAAATGAAGTCTTTCAGTGCCGAAAAAAGAACAATATATTATTTGGATGGAACTTGGATCAAATACTGAGCAAATAATTATTAATCTTAATGATGATAGCAGTTCGCCCGAGTCAGAATTAGAATAAATTGTATTTTTCTAGATATGAATCTTTTTCATGTATTTTTTATTAAGCTCTTGTAACTATCATGTAGGCACTATTTTTTATTATTATTACTATTATTATTGCTAATTTTCTACCTGGTATTATGCTTCTTGGAACTATTATCACAATGACTTGAGTAAATAGTATTATTGTCATTATTACTGTCATTGTTCAAGAACCTTTCAATTACCAGTTCCGTGTGGACGACTTCTTAATAGTTTATGTAAATATTTCAGTGCTATTTTCTACCTGATATTAAGCTTCTTGGAACTATTACCCTAATGACTTGTGTAAACTCTATTATTCTCATTACTACTGTTATTTTTTTGTAAATAGGGAAACCGCCAGTTCTGTTAATAAAAGTTGTATTGTCTTGTCTAAGTATTTCACTGCTACATAAATGAACAGAGCGCAAAGTTTGAGCAAACATATATATATATATATATAACGTATATATATATATATATAAAGAGAATATGATCATGCAGAGAAAAGTATATAACAACAAGTAGGAAAATAATGGGCAAAATCCGCAAAAAGGAGGAAAGTGGATTCGAGCAGAAAATAGGATAGGTAACCCGAGCGATACGTATTTCTGCTGGTTGGCTTCATCGGGCCCGAAATGAATGCACATATTATGAAACTACAAAAGTAGATACACATACCCACACATCCGGATACGGGTGTAACCTGAGGAAACGAAGTTGGAGGGGAAAAAAACGACACACGAAGTCCACAACAAGAGCCAACCTACACAATGTAGTATACAATCGCTATACGACCTCGAATTTTCAAGGAGACGTCTAACCACCACCACGCGGCCGGTTATAGCCACTTGCTACTTCAAGCCCAAAAGATCTACAAAAAGAATATGATCATGCGGAGAAAAGTATATAACAACAAGTAGGAAAATAATGGACAAAATCCGCAAAAAGGAGGAAAGTGGATTCGAGCAGAAAATAGGATAGGTAACCCGAGCGATACGTATTTCTGCTGGTTGGCTTCATCAGGCCCGAAATGAATGCACATATGAAACTACAAAAGTAGATACACATGCCCACACATCCGGATACGGGTGTAACCTGAGGACTTCGTGTGTCGTTTTTTCCCCTCCAACTTCGTTTCCGGCCGCATTATAAAATCTTTCTATACAACATTATTACAGAGTTAACGTAAGAATTGTGCATATTCGGTATTTGAGAGTAATTTATACATGTGATGTATACATGACCCGTGAAGCGGGCCGCAAGAAAGGAGCGGCCCTGGTGTAACAGATTTCCATGAACACTCACATTCCGTGCTTGAGCACTGAATACGGCCCAGGGCGTCTGACCCAGCCCCTCACGCCTGAAGTATTTCGCATCTGCTGTCTCTTGAAGTTGAATTTGGTTATAGTGAGTGTAGTGAATAAATGGACGTATTCGCATAACATTCACTTAGTAAAACCAAGATTCTCAAGTTTTCGAGTGCAATTATCTCAACATTAATATGCTACTAAAGTTTCTATCATGGCGTATATTTGATTTCGCAGTTCACATTGCGTCTCGGTGAGTGTAGTGTAGGACATGCTATACAGCCTTTCTTGTGCCAATATTTTGTGGATAAACATTCACTATATGGTGTTTCATGCAATTTCTTTAGGTAACAATAATATCACCTAAGAGGATATTGAACGATGACAAACGAGTCGAAATCGGTTGGACCAAAGGTGGTGTTCAACCAGGTGAGATACTTCTGGAACACTCTACAAAACAAGTAGTATATAAATAAGTACTCGGATGGAGATTTGAACAGTAGTTGCAGGTCACAGAAAAATATTCCAGTCACATAACATTGACTGCAGCCGTGTTACACTTTAGAAATTAGAGTAAGTCCCAACGTTACCTCGCACTTATTGCTCTGATGGCCACCTGGCTACTAGAACAGATTATTCATCGCTAAATTTATCCTGGGTATGTGACGCACATATAAATCGCATAAATCCTTCTCCGAATACATGAGAAAAATTTATAAAGGGTCCCAAAGATGAAGATATCAGAGTCATAGTTTTATTCGTATACTTACCTCATCATTTCTTCATGTCTCAGTCTTTCAGATTGCCTGAACACATCCTCCCGGAGTAGTCCACCACCAGTATTGCTGTATCGTACTTCTTCCTGTCTTATGCTCGGATTGATATGTAATGGCTGCTGTAACCCGTTATTTCCATACCCACCATTATGGGTGGGGCTTGGATATGACTGACCCTACAACAAAGCACAACAAAATGTATTTCTTAAATGTGGAAATCCTGTTTCTGGCAACATAATGTTCAAATCTTCTATATACTTAGGTCAACAATTATATCACAATCTACCAAAATATATTAGAAAAAACCGAATATCATTTTGAAAACTGATATAAACATGATGTAATTTATAAAAAACTAACCCATATCTTTTCTTCGTTGTTAGTCTACGATGAAAAATTAATGTACATATTACATTTATATCATTTGTTTTTTAGTCCTATCACTGCTGTTATATGTATGTTGCGTTAGCATGATATCCACATACAAGGATATTTTCTTTTTGTGGTATAGGCATTTGTTCACAATTTGTAATTGATATGAATAACTTATTATTATTATTATTACTATTATTATTATAAAAAAGTTGTAAATACTCCCACAACACCTTGGAACTTGGTTCGAACGATGTTATGCGAATCAGAAGTTACAAATAATTTGTTCTGGATTTCGGAGAAAACGTACTCAGATTCTGTAAGTTATCATTTAACGGCCCAACTACATGTTGATACTAGGGATCGACTAATACCGATATTTATATCGGCGTATAGGCAAATTCGGCCTATTCTGCCTATATATGAATCCGCCGATAAGATTGCACATATGCCGATATAGGCCGACTGATATTAATTAAAAGTTACCGTTTAATGTTATTGGGTTGAAAAATAAGGACACAGATCAAGTATGCAGTTACGTTTAAGCACAATGTTCTTGATGTGTATAATAATAATTTGTTCACATCAATTATAAATTGTGAACAAATTGATATGCCACAAAAGGGAAATATCCTTGTATGTGGATATCATGCTAACACAGCATACATATAACATAGCAGTTATAATAAACTGAGAGGACTAAAAAAATCTATATAATACAAATATAATATGTTCATTAATTTTGGATCGTAGAGTAGCAATGAAGAAAAAATACGATATACTCGTATGTTAGTTTTTCATAAATTACATCATGTTTATGCCAGTTTTCAAAAGCCACTCGTATAAATCTATTTTTAATAATGATATTCGGCTTTTTCTAATATATTTCCGTAAGTTGTGATATAATTTTGGAACTAAGTATATAGAAGATTTCAACATTATTTCTTTTTTGCTATTGTAATTATTTGTTTATTTTTATTTCTAGTATCATATTCATAATTTTTATAAATGGTCAAATGTTTATTTTTATGGAATTCTAGTATAACATTATACAAAAATAAGTTTTTTATATCTAAAAGTTTTGATTAGCGATTTGGTTGGATATAGTAAAGGTTTGCTATGAATTGTTTTTATGAATAGTTTTTATCTGCAGGACCGCGAAGCGTATGACTGATATGCGAGGTCGGAAAAATTTCTCATGTTTCAAGGAATAATGTACAGGTAAGTCTATAATGAGTGAAATATGTTTAAAAGGTGCGTAGAATTGGCGCGGTTGAAGGCGTAAAAATCATTTATATCAAGCAGATTCAGTCTGGTACATTTTTTTCACAGTAATGAGTCAAACTTTTTTTTAGCATACCGTGCTAGTTTTCAATGAAATGAATACTCGGTTGTGTCAACCAACTATTAACGGTAGCCCAGGAAAAAAATCACAAGATCTTTATAGCCATAATAGGCAAAAAGGAGCAAAAAGTAGTGATTTTTTGAAAAAAACCTCATAGTGGCAATATCTCGAAAACTAGAAAACTTTTACTAAGGTCATGTTGATTTTATCTGATTGATCCAATCTACCTCCCAGGTCACTCTGCCGAGTTATTTCTGGAACACCCTGCATAAAAATTTTCCGTCCTTATGTGGAAATTTCTTCAAAATAGGACCGGTACTTTCCAAGTCATAGCGGGGTCAATGATTAGCAGACAGCCAGACAGAAGGGCATACGAAATGAGACATGATGTCATATAACACCAAAAAAGCATCATATCTAATTTTCTTGGTTGCGATGCTTCCACGCCAGTGGCGTAGAAAGCAAAAACCAAAAGTTTAATGTTGCCACAGTTACTAGATATCCTTCAGATACATATTAACAAAAGTCAAGGCATTTTGGGGGTATTGTTTCTGTAACTTTTGTTTGCTTATAGTTAGCTTATCATGTCAATCCTTTTTATTACATGACGAGTGAGCACACATTTTTAGCAGGCGCAATTATGAGCAGTTATCAACAAAGGTTTACAATAACAATATCCCCTAAGCTGGTTTTAGCTTGTATTAGTCGATGTTTGAAGGATATTTAGGAAGTTTGGGAACGTTAAAATTTTAGTTTTTTCATAATGTTTTTCAGGGTCATAAATAGCATATTTTGCACTTTTCCAATAATAAATCGCTTATATCTTGAAAACTACTGCGCCGGAAAAATTAAAGACATCGTTAAAATCACTTCAGCAGGAATATTTAAAATCAGTTGTTACTTCTTCGGAATCATTTTTTTCTCATCTTGTTTTAACCTAAGTAATTTAAACCAAACACATTCTTACCGTATGATTTCCATAAAATGGCATTTTGCCATCCTCCGTCGCATAGTGTCTCTGATAGGGAGCTCCGGTGGAGGTGGCAGTATAGTACCCCTGCACGTTGGGATAACTGCCCGTCCTTCCCACTTGCTCATCGCCATGCAATCGATGGGTGGAGGGGGGGCTTTTCAGGTTGGGTATGGATTGATGGAGATGGTTGCCCACCCCGGGGGGCCGAGAGATAGCCGCTGATGCGGGGGCAGGGGGGTAGTACGCCGATGCGGGTCGCTGTTGCCCGGAGTTGGCTACGGAGGAATGTAAAGAGTTCTGGGAGCTGCGGAGTACAGAAGTCCTGGAAACAAAACACTAGTGTTAATGCCACGTAGAAGAATTTCTCATAAATATATTGATGTTCTAATGACACATCTAATTTTACAGATATGATTATTCCTTACAGTGGAAGTAGGACAACGAAATATATCGATTTCAATTTAAAAGCGCAACATGGATATATATACAGGGTGTCCGCAAAGTTGGGGTTTTCCTTTTCAGAAACAACTACGCTTGAAATAACAAAGGTAATGTGTAGTGAAACGAGGGCGACCAAGTAAAAAAAATTAAGGAAAAAGTACTCACACTCCAGTTGACGAGAAGGGCTAAGTACGTCTCTGCCCGAAATCATACCGCTCCAACAGAAAATGGAATCAGCAGACGCAGAAACCACATTGATTGTCTTACACTTAATGGCACATCTTCTAACAAGGAAGGCAAAATGTTGCGTAAAAAGTCTAGGTATTGCATCCCGTCCAATCGATTTGGGAGAATAAATGGTCCAATGAGCATATCGTTCACCATGCCAGCCCAAACATTCACCGAAAATGTTTGTTGAAAATGTGCCCGACGGACAGCGTGCGGATTTTCTACTGACCAAACATGAGTGTTGCGAAAGTTATTCACCCCATTACGCGTGAACGTAGATTCGTCTGTCACCAATATGCACTTCAAAAAGTCCGGATTATTGTCATGTTGATGCAACAACCACTCACAAAACCGCACTCTTGCTGGAAAATCGTCAGGTTGAAGGGCTTGTACACGTTGGACGTGAAACGGATACAGCCCCTCTTCACGCAGCGTTTGCCACACTTTAGTTTTTGATACTTGCACTTCTCTAGCCACGTCTCTAGTGCTTGTTGAGGGATTCTCGTCTACGCGATTACCTCTACACGCGTGACCGTAACCGTCGGTTGAAGGTTGCATACTGACCTGACACACTGACCCCGACCCAGTTCTGTCGTCGGATTGAGCCAGTGACCTTGTACCAGTCGGTGATGTCGCGGCTACAAGACGGAATTCAGATATTTTTGATGTTGCAGAGCCCTTTATCTCGGTTCCTTTAAGACATTGGTGTATATGGTACTAAGAAAAATTGCTTATGTTTTCAAGATCTACACGTCGTGTAGGAGGAAAACCCCAACTTTGCGGACACCCTGTATATATATATATAGTAATGGACAAAAGTATATGGACAAATACGAATATTTACCTAAATACCTTTAGAATACTTCACTGCTCCATAAAACAAATGCGTTATTAGTAGTAAAACTAAATTCCTTGTTTTTTAGACAAATTCTTTTCAACATTAGTTTAGTACAGTTTCATGTCTGAAGAGGATTAGTTTGTGTTCATCAAGTATTGTGGAATAAGTTGAGTGATTTTAAGACCATGCCGAGTGGTCCAGAAATTTCTTTCGATGTAAAAACTAAGATCATTGAGTTATACAAAGATGGTCAACGTCAAGTCGACATTGCCAACAATTTTAAGCTGAAGCTTAAAGCAGTTTGGGCAATATTGAACAAATATAAACAAAAAGGTATCTTGGAAACCGTGGTCAGCAAAGAAAACTAAATGCTAGATCAGTTGGATTAATAAAAGTAATTTCGTCCAAAGATCCGTTTAAAACTCCAAGACAAATAAAAGCAGAAATCGAGACAAAAGGAATTGCCAGTGTTTCTACGAAAACTATAAGTAGAAGATTAAATGATTTGAAGTTATTTGCACGTTGCCCGAGTAAGAACCCCCCCGTGGATCTCGAACGTAGAGCCAAAATGTACTGCCTACACATGTTGCCTTCTTAGAAACCGCTTGTTGTCATCCCTTCTCTGTATTCCTTTACAGTGCATAAGCAGGAAAGCTGACGATCGCCACCGACCAATAATTTTTATCATCCACGTACGATAAAGACGATAGGGATGAACTTACACCCCTCAACTTCTACGCTAAGCGCAAAATCTTGATTAAACCCTTACGCTTTTTTATGTCTGATTCCCCCAGCTTGCATCACCATCTGTTTACCGCCGTCTTGCGGAACCCGTAGGGCAACACCGAAAACAAATAACTATGAAAACAGTAGTTAAGTGTAACATCTGTAAAACATCCCCAAGCAAATTAGTTTTCAAAGCCCTACCCAAAAGATTTCACGATTTAGTTTAGTTTCAAAAACAGGTCATGTGGACGCCGCATTTATACCCTTGTCCCAAGAGGGAAGAGAGAAGCAAAATAAATCGCTCGCCCATACCGCGCCTCTTTAAACTGAAAAAGTCGGCGCGCGATGGGTTTTACTGTTCGCTTCCAATTCGGTATCCGATTATCGCATGAAAAACTATTTACCTATCACCAAGATGTTGCGGACTTGGCACCTTATTCCTGTATATGCTCAGATTCTGGTAGAAGCCGCCATCTTGTTGTTGCTGCTGCTGTTGATGCAGATTGTGCGTGCTACGACTGCGCAGACCGGGCGCCACGACGCCGCCTCCATTCTGCGCGAGGTGGGCGGCGGCGCCAGGCACGGGACGACTGCCGTACGCGTCGGGAGCGGGCGGTTGGTAAAGGGGCGGTCGAGAAGGGTCGCCACCGCCACCGCTACCTCCCGCGTGGATCTGGTGCAGCGCGGGCACCGATTTGGACGCTGGGATGGCGCGCTCCTGGTCCACTTTAGATGGCAAGTCGCGCTCCGACATTCGTCGGGGACCTGCTGGAAGGAATAAAAGAAGGTTAGATTTTTAAAGCCTGGTCTGGGATGGTGGTGTGGTGCTACACGGTCAAGTGCAACGTTGCTAAGTTTGTCATCATTTAGCCAAATCTAAAGACTTAAAATATTCTACCGAGCACGGAAGTCATCCATTTTTTTCAGCTTACATTTAACCCTCTTCCACCACGTTTGTTTTTATTATGGAATCGTTCATCGTGTTTTATAGATATACTGGATTAGTTCTAGTGAACATAAACTAATCCTTCAAATGTCATAAAGTATGTTACCACCAGTACTACACAGCAGCTCATCATAGGTAGTATAAATGGTAACACTGGCTTTATGGTGCCTACCTAATGAAGAGATTCGACTAGTAACTTGACCCACTACCCCTCTTTGCCAAACTACACAAATCGGAGATCATTCATTAAGGTATCATCACCAGGTATACAGAGCCTGCCCTGCCATTTACACTCCCTGTGACGCCTCAGCTGCGTAATACTCGTTGTACATTATTACTGTATATGTATGGTTGTTACCCTAGACCTAGAATAAACTAGCGAGCACTTTCGATATACCAATGAATGATAAAAATGAAAGTTCCTATTATTTTTGCATTATACTTGTATTACATCAGGTTAACCATGAATTAAGATAGCATTGTTAGCTTCACATGAGTGAGCAGCCACAACGTCCGATTGTTTGTTGGAATTCAGCAAAATAATCTTAGTTGTGCTTGATACATCGCAACTTGAACGTTCACGAAGGTGTATGTGACTACCTACTGTTCCCACCAGGTCAGTTATTTTGTTGGCTATCATTTCGTAGATGATAAGTCGTAGGTAAACCGTAATTATAGTGGTCACCTCTGCATATCATCAGGAGCCAAATAAATAAACTATGAATTGGTGGTCATCCCAGAAAACCAGTAGGTCAAAAAGAATTTAAGCTACCATTGTAAATGTATAAAAGTATAAAAGTAAGTAAGATATGTCCCCAAACCTATATCTATCTCACGATTTGACACTAAATAATGAAATAATTTATACACGAATAATTCATCTTCTTAGCAACATAATTGCGCCCAAGTCGTGTAGCATTATGAGTCTAAATATCAAGCCAAAAACCTCGTAACACATGGAGTCACGACAACGTTTCTAAAATAGATGAGATTTAAATATATGGGATATATACATATGTAATTTTTCTAAATCCCAAGACGTTCGAAATCGAAGGATAAAAATAGTCGTTATTTTGGTGTACTACCATTAAGGCTAATATATTTCGTTGTGAATCCATATGTTATCAATATAACAAGCAGCTATTAAAAAATTGTGAAAAGTATAAACAATAATTATAAAAGGATATAATTTACGATATAATGGCAATGGCTATAGTGATGATCATGATCGTACGATAAAGGTGAAACAAAAGAGTGCAAAAATCGTCAGTCTAAATGGCGTGGTTATGCCGAGGCTATAATGATTTTGGAATAAAACGTACTTATTTATACTGTGTTATTTCGAGCTACATGATAGGTAGGAATTGAGTAGAATGAACGGTTTCCTAAGCTGAAGATCTACTATTGAAAACGAGTAAAAATAGAGTATACAAAAGTATAAATAAGTAAGTTTAGTGATCACAATTGTGAGACACAACAGATATTTTTTTATATAACCCGTTTGACATTGTGTATGAATGTTCGATATAAGATACCAATATTTGGTACCTATGATTCTGCAATCTGTGGGTAATAGCATATGCGTAATTGCTAGGACTGGCTAAAATGAGGTATTCTATATCGTGTCAAACGGCTATAACTAAAACTAAACATCTATAGCGAATTAGGGAGAACTATATGATTATAAAAAATGAAGATTCAAACTCGACAGCATCGAGAATTTTTTATTCTCTCTAAAATGAAAAACTTGTCGTAATGAGTCATGGTGGGTCAACGTCAGTGATGGGCATTTGCACGTATACTTTAATTGACTACATTTCGATGTAGATAATCCGTAGATAATGTAAGCAATACATATACAATCCATATACTAGGACCTTATTTCACGAGTATCCATCAGGCTTTGACGTCTACTGAGGTGAACAGCTGATCAGCAAGTGACATTTTTGTGTTAGTCTGCAATGATGGCTATAATGAATTGGGTGTAAATCTAGCAAAAATTAGTTTTAGCAAGTACAAAATAAATCTGTAGTGTACAAAAAACCAAAACAAAATATGGCTCTGCCCATCTGGCTTTGACAGATCCGTCAGAATTGTGTACTTTGCCGATATGGGGAATTTTGAAATATTGCCAAATAATCACCTGTCATTGTACCATTATGGATATACCCTATTTCACAAGTAACCATCACAATGACAGCTCAGTATCTAGTAATATCTCAACATACCCCACATCGGCACAGGACACATAATTCTGATGGATCAGTCAACGTATTTTGTTTTGTTTTTTGTACGCTACAACATTTTGTACTTGATAACAGCTATTAAATTTAGAAAAGTCCATTTGCATACAAAAAACAAAACACTACAAATAATTTTTACTAGATTTACACCCGATTCCTCATTGCCAACGTCGCAGACTAATACAACAATGTCACTTGCTGATCAGCTGTTCACCTCAGTAGACGTCAAAGCGTGATGGATACTTGTGAAATAGGCTGTACTCGTGAGATAGGATATAGAATAGCAGAAATGAGATTAGGTTTAGTCGCAAACGTCAAAAAATTAGTGAACCGGCAACTATAAAAATGAAATTGTCTAAATGGTTTACGCGTATACAATGGTGTATTTTACATGATATATACAATGCGCCCATCACTCTCAACGACATGGGTTTAAAATATGAAACTAAAGCGAATATAAATCAGTACTTTTCACAGCTCATTTAAAATGGTAATCCAAAGACAGACGTTAGTATATTTCGAATTTGAATCATCGTGCAAGGAAATAAACAGCTGGGAGGTTGTAAGACCTCAAGTATACTTCAGGAGAAAAGATGCAAGTTGTAGGCATATGGTAGTCATAGAGTATAACTTTACCAAGCAATATGTTGCCGGCAACATGGATCTAACGGATCGTTTATTATCGCCTGCATCTTATATCTCATCCTGAAGAGTATACTCAAGTAAAGCTACAAAACGAAAAAAGAACATCGATATGACAAATGAATGCGCGACAGGTAATCGTACTCTTACGACGGTAAGCGGCAACTTGCAAATCCAAAGCGGCTAACCTAGCGGCAGCTGCGTCAACTTCGACAACTCCCTCGCACTCGATACTCGCGCAACTCTGACTCTTCCGCGACACTTTCGGCGACTCGACGCAGTACTTCGATACAGGACAAGACTTTTTAGCATATCTGCAGCACTTTCTTACCGTGCGTTTGCTCTTTATGTCAGAGCAACTTTTCCATGCTTTTGCAAGGTACTTTTTCCTCATTAGAATCACTTTAGGAGGCTTGCAGTTATTCTCGCTTTTAGATTTTCTCACACTAGTTCGCCTAGTTATGATGTAAGCGTCTGGGAACTTTTTATGTTTACGTTGTATATCTGTTAACCTTTCTAAGCTATCACATCGTACTAATTGACTATTAAATGGTTTGTATTCTATTATTTCACTAAAACGCCGCCTATACTTTGGCTTTTTAGGTAAAGGATTAAATTTAGGTTCTTCTTTGTCCTTATTATTTTTAGAAGTTTTTTCTTCAGGACTTTTAGCTTCTGCTTTGTTAGTCTTCAAGATTCCTTTCAGTTTAGGTTTACCGCTATCGTCTACTTTTAAGTCTTCGGTTTTGGTCCCTAAAGTGGGTGTAAAATCGACATTAAAAATACAGTTTTTAAATTCGCATCTATGGCTAAATTGGTCCAGGTTTGATTTTTTACTGAGCGAGTCTTCGGATCTGAATTTGCTCAAGCTAGACCCAAATTTTTTGTTTTTTGGTGACAGGTCTGGTTCTGAGACAAACTTTACCACAGTTTTCCTCATAGGCACATCTTCTTTATTAACAGTCTCCTTTTCTGTACACTCTTTGCTGAGTTTCAAATTAAACTCAGTTTTTGAATCTGATCCATTTAAGCTCCAGTCATGCAGTAACTTTAGTATCTCCAGTCTTTCATACTCTGTTAATTTATCATTCAGTTTTTCCTCGCTAACACTTTTACTTCTGCTGGTCGCGAATTTTTGCTTATGCAACTGGGGAACACTGATTGCTTTGCTCTTGAACTGCTCTGAGAGATCTTTTACTTTTCCATGCCTAATTTCGTAAGGAGATTTCCAGTTTTTATGTTTTATCGGAATGTCTGGATCTATTTGACTTAAATCCAAGTTGGACTCGTGTACGCAACTATTTATACTTGATGTAGAGCTAGAGAGATCTTGCAAAGAACTAGAAGCCAGTCTATTTAGTCTTCTGTTTCTGGCACTGATGCTCAAAAACTTATCTGTATCGTCGATATCGTCTATATCATACGCGCTATCGTGAATGTCTATCGTGTAACTTTTTCGTTGCATGAAGTTGTTCGCTTTATCTCTCCACGATTTTTTTACTTCTTCGACTTTCTGGGTGAGCATAGTCTGGCCAGATTCATCGTAAGTTAGTGTCACGTTTTTAGGACTCGGCTGAGAAAAGTCGGTGACTTGTAGGTTGAACACAGGTTCATCAGTTTCTATCTCTATTCTAGGAATGGTGAATTTTCGTTTCTCTTGTTTAAAAAGGCTATCGTCAGAGTTAAAAAAGATGTTATGCTTGGGTTTCGTGGCAGGAGGAGTGAATATTCGATATACACCAGGACTGTAGAGTGATTCTTGAGAGCTCTGCACTGTGTCGTAATAGTAGTTGTCCATTCCAACAGCTGCATGCGCAAAACGGATTTTGTTGGAGGTCACCCAGTTTGATATTTACTTTTCCGAGTGATCATTGTGAACATTTATGATACAAATCATTATTTATTGTATGACTATGAATATCTTGGGAAGTTCATATCTAAATGTTGAATATGTGTTGATGTTTCTTTACATTCTGTTTTCCATATTATTTTCTGTGCTTTTTAAAAATTAGTTCCAAAGTACCAACTACAGATTATAAATTTGATTATCTGGATTTTAATGGTCGAGTAATTAAATATAATGAAATATATTGTCAAAAAAGTGTCAACTTTATACTGAAAATAGTCACCGTTGGGATCGAAACGTTCACAATAAAGAATAATTTTAAATACATGTGGTTAATATGATTCACTCGTCTATAATTTCATAAGTTAGACGTCTGCAACTGGATGAGTTACTCAATATTCACATATGACCACTTCAAAAAAATTCATAAAAAGGTGACTTTTGTCCACTTTTGATTTTGTTTTAGTACCTTACAACTACTATTATGTTTATTGTTTATATTAGTACCAATGAATACGACATCGAAGTTAGCAATTTACGCCAATTTCATGTTAAGCAATCGAGCTAGCGTCTCACAGGTCTTAGCTTACCTACTGCATAACTTTCTGGCTCTAAAGATATTAATGTTTTATACTTTCCATGTCTATGTAAATGAATGTGACGGCATCTGCATATTTTTCCTGTATGTGAAAAAGTATGTATAGTATGAATAGAAACATTTTGAAGGAGGGCAATACTAAACCGTACGTTAATATACAGTGAATCGTAAAATATTTATCAGTAAATAGAAATGCTGCGACAAGTGATGTCAATAATCTTATTGCAAATCTGTATCTATAAGTGACTTTCTCATTTATTGACGATTTTTATGATTCAAATTATACGGGAAAAAAACTGTTATAAAAAATAATTTAGTTAACAAGCTTACCTCTATGTGCTGGTGTTGGGCTAGGTTGTTGTAGCAATGTTGCCAAGCCATGGTATACAGCTCCTGCTTTAGCGACCTCTAAGGTTACTACACTCCCTGTCCTTTGTAAGAACTCGGCTGCTTTTTCCTGGGTTATTCCTAAAAAGCAAAAATAACTGTTAAAAAAACTACAAAAAAACGGTTTAATAGAAAATAAAACTAAAAGTAGAAAATAATTTTGCTGTAGAGGAGAGTCTGTTTGTGTTACTGCAATAGAACGTCCACGAATCAAGTATGTATGACTAATGAAAATTCAATTATCGTAAAAAAGCATGTAGCGGACAAAAGTTTGGCAACATTCTTAGTGATTTTTAAAAACTGTGCTAATTTTTTATTCTTTATTATATTATTATTTTTGTATCTCGTATAGTTTGCTTACAGGCTTGAGGATACAAATGACAATTTGTATTTGCTGTGGTACTACAGACTAGCATTAAAATACCTTCATATTATTTTATGACCAAAAATGAGACGACAACAGCATAGAAACATATTTTTTATTAGAAAATCAAATAAAATAACTCTACAAAAATATTTAAAAAATAATGTTCAGCTAATATTTGGTAGCATAGTTTTAGCATTCAACACTGCTCATAGAAGACACCAATTTTTTACAGACGTGGGATATTTTGCCAAATATTTTTTACATAATCAAATGACTCGTTCCTATTTTTAAAAGTTTTTCTTGTCACTTTTAACATGCTCCCATGTTCTATAGGGTTGAGGTACGGGGATTGCGAAGGCCATGTAAGAACACTAACATTTTTTAGTCTTTTAGTCATAAAGGCAATTCTTATTCAGCAAAAAGGAGCAATAAGAATATATTTGTAAAGTCTACTTTCCCAACAATTTGAACAAGTAGACCCGTTCCAGGACTAGAAAAGCAGCCCCAAACCATGATGTTGACTCCAACGTGCTTAACTGTTGCCGAATCCTTTTCGTATTGGACGTCTCACATATGGCGTAGCATCAGATCCAAACAAGTTAAATTTGCTTTCAACGCTGCTCCATAAAACTGTATTCGATTGTTCTGTCCAAGTTAGATGAGTTTTTGCAAATACAAGCCGATCAATACGGTTTTTTTTAAATGAGAGGTTTTTGCACTGTACGCCTACCAAAAAACGTTTAATGTAGCGATCCGAAAGATAATCGTTTTTTTTTTCGGTCTTCCGCACCTGAGCCGCGTTGCTGTTGATCCGTATTCTTGATATTTACTAATAATTTTCGAAATCGCTGTTCATTTTTAATCTTTGAGAAATGTCAACATCTCTGACACCACTTCTCAATGATTCCATTACTTTGTCTCTTAAATCTTTTGAAAATTGTTTTACTTTTGCCATTCTTACTGATGTTAATATTCACCGCAAGCAATGTCAGAGTATCGCAGAACGAATAAATACGGCAAAATTTAAATGTTTCCATACTTTTGTCTTAACAAAAACAGTGGCATTTAAAAAAAAAACGCGTGTTTTTATTCTCAGAGCATCTGAATATTGACAAGATAAACCTTGTATTAGTACGGGAGACAAAGGACGACTTTAATATTTATATTATCTGTTCCTTCAAAATTTTAGTTTAGGTATATGAAATAGTTCATAATAATGTTAATATTTGTTTACAAACTTTTGTCCGCTACTGTATATTCACTCACCTAGCAATGACTGACCATCAACACTGAGCAGCTGATCTCCTGCTGCTAGGCGACCATCTCTATCAGCTGCTCCTCCAGCTACAACAGATTTAATGTATATACCTAGTCGTTCCTGCCCTGCTCCCTTAGCTGCTACGATAGACAGGCCCATGCCACCGCCTGATTTGTGAAGACGAATCACTTGAACCTTGAAAAGAAAATTATAGAGATATATCAATCGTTACGCACCTTGAGTACTATATTTACAGAGCATTGCGTGTTTTGAATTGATCCAAGTTCGCCACATCAGTTCATAAGGGATTATATTCGGCACAAGCTAAATGGATCATACAATCAGTCCATAGTTAGAAAGTGCGATCTAGATTACCCCCCACAACAGTACTGACCATCCGTTATATTATACACGAAAACACGTATGATGGCTCAGTCATACCGAACCATCCAAAGCAGAGAGGCGCGCGCTCGTTGAGTTGTTCGCCACTTGTACATCGAAGATACATATGAATTACCTGGATTGCTAGAGGTATAAATTGTTGGCACCAAAAAATTAACATATACTCTCCCACCCCCTAACATCAGATTTTTAATTCTAACCCCTCCAAAAATCTTTGGCAATGATCAGGAGCCTCTAAAACTTCAAAGAGATTTTTTAAGAGAGTTTTATTTGTTTCGTGTTTTTTCCCCAACTCCGCCGCCACTGGACCAATCTTCAAAATTCGCATAGTAGTAACATTGTGAAAATTTCATCCAAATCCGAGCAGTAATTTCCAAGTTATAGACGGTCCAAAAATTACCGGACATATCTCATTTTCGAAATTTTTCGCAATTACAATACTTCCTCGCCCAGTAGAGTAGGAAATAAAAATTGCGTTAAGTAGGTCGACTCAGCACCTCCTACGCAGTGAGCGTCTTCTGGAAGTGGTTCCTGACGACGCTATTGTTTTTTAGCGAGAAGCCCATTTTCATTCGTGTGGATCTGTCAACAAAAAAAAAAACGTGCTACTGGGCTGACACCAATTCTCGAGAATTGCGTCAAAGGCCTTTGCATCCACCTAAAGTCTCAGTGTGGTGTGCAATTTCCTCAGCAGAAATTATTGGTTCCAGTTTCTTTTGACGAAAATGTAGGTCGCAGAGATAATGAATTCGGACCTGTATGTAAACATGTTACAGGATTTTTTTTGATGGATAGGTTGGACTTCTTCTCAATTAGGGGCGATTTGGAATGACACGTTCTCTCGATTTGGCGCCTTGTGACTTTTACTATGTTTTTTTTTATGAAAACCGCCCAAGGACCATACCAAATTTGAAGACCAATATCGAAGAAGAAATTGCCAACATAAAACCTGTTATGCTGACAAGAGTCATGACTAACGCCAGAAATCGGTTTACTCAATGTATGGAGAATCGAGAGGACGTCACCTATCGATTTAGGCATGCACCTATATTAGGTATATATAAAAAAAATATATATACTGATTCAACCAAAGGATTTTTCAAGTTTTGAAACAGGAAGTTATGCTGTCGCACCCTTTACTTTTCACACGGTCAATTATAAGTAACAATTATTGCATTACTTTGAATATTGCATTTCTTTCTCCAAAACCCATATTTTTCACATTAATGCAAAGCGAATGATCTATACTTCACACTACTCCGACGCGAGCGGAGCCGCAGGTTTATTGTAGTATTTAATAAAAATATCTCACCTCCGGTTGTGTGGTGCTCATAGCCGACGGAGGTCTAGGCGCGTTCATGTAAACCGTCCATTGTCCACTACTAGTCGGCTGAGCTGCCAACCTGCATAATCCAGCGGCCTGGAGCGGATGCAGGAAATCAGCCAGTCCAGGAGGAACTCCTTGCACCACGTCGCAGCTATACCCGTCATCGGGCAGTAACAATTGAAGAGCGGGTGCCGGTTCTTCAAATAACGCCACCTCGCGGCCTTCCGCTCGAGCCAGTTCATCTGCTACACTCTCTGCTGCTTTCGAAGCTTGTTCCAGCATTGACGGAGCTGCTATTTTCTCAGTTGGCTCAGCTAAAAAGAGACAATGGCGAATGAGCAAACAGCTATACAAACAAAAACTTTGAATGCTTCCAAGTCATACCTATCCGATCATTTTACAATAACCTTAATATATGGATCACATTTTGAATTGACACCCTCTCACTAACCATGGTCAAAGTAAGTCTTCCCGTAACTTTTTTCCATATCACCCACATAATAAACTCATGTTTGGAAAATGACTACCACCCTAAGCTGTGGAAGCTGACTCTAATTATACCTGTCCCTAAAATATCTAAACCTACTGAACTTAAACATCTTAGACCCATTAGTTTGTTGCCGGTGCTATCGAAAATTTTGGAAAAAATTCTAGTTGTCCATTACATAGAGGAACTTAAAATAATATCGTCATGTCAATCGGGCTTCAGGAAGCACCATAGTACCACCTCGGCACTGTTGTGATAATGTTATTAGGGCAGTTGACAAAAAGTTAGCAACAGCAGTGGTATCAATTGACTATTCCAAAGCATTCGATCGAATAAATCATAAACTTTTGTACGCCAAGCTGAGGTATATAGGCTTCGATGATGCTGCTGTCAGTTTTTTCCGTAGCTATTTGTCCGGTCGCACGCAATGTGTCGCAATCAATAACGATCAATCCAATATTACGACTATTCCGTCAGGAGTTCCGTAAGGCTCAATTTTGGGACCTGTGCTCTTTTTGATTTACACGTGTGACCTGCATAAAGCAGTTGACAATTCAGGGATACAAACATTTGCTGACGATACTCAAATAATATTCCATTTCGACGCCTCAGGTACACAAAATTCATTAGACATTTTACAGCTTGTTTTAGATAAGGTACATCAGTTTTCTATGAAACATAATCTTGCTATTAATCCAGATAAGACACAAGTGTTATTGTTTTGTTCTGATCGGAAGAGGAAAACTGTCGAAGATTCTTTCCATCTGACAATTGATGGCATAACATTACAGCATACTCAAACAGCTTAGGTACTAGGAGTGGAAATTGACACAAAATTAAGATTCCGCAGCCAAATAGCTAATTTGATGAAAAAAACTTACCTGTGTTCTAGGGCTCTTTATTCCAATCGCTACTTGCTTAACTTTAAGCTGAGGAAAAAACTGTGCGAATCTTTGGTGATGTCAATGCTCAGTTACTGTGATGTCGTTTATTATCCGTGTTTGGATCAATTGACCAAAAATCGTCTTCAAATTATCCAAAATAACTGTGTTCGCTTTATTTATGGGTTGCGTAAATACGATCACGTAAGTGATAAATTAGGGAATTGAACTGGCTTAGGTTATGAAGCTTGGTTAAACATAAATTCTTAGTTTTAGTTCATAAAATAATATTGTCATCAAAGCCTGAATATCTAAGAGCTAAGTTTTTTAATTACGAAGTGCATGGCAGGGCTGTTAGGAATCGTTATAGTATCAGAACCACCCCACACACTTCTGCATTATTCCAACGAGGATTTACATATAATGCAGCACTATTTTATAATCAGTTAGACAACAGTATTAAATTGATGTCTTTGGAAAGTTTTCGTAAACATACTAAAAGCATGTTGCTCGCTATTGATTAAATACGCATTTCTGCTACAGATATAGATTGTGTCTATTTGTATTTTATACTTAGGTATATGTCTTCTTTTCTTCATTGTTCTTATATTTTTTTTTTCATGTTTTGAACATCAGATGTAACCGACATAAACAGTTAAGTGTAAGAGTAGCCTTGGCTAAACTTCCCTGTTTATGTCCCTCCGGGTTATCCAATAAAGACGTTTTATTATTATTATTATTATTATTATTATTATTATTTGCTAAGCATTAGATTTGAGAGAGATGGTGCAAAACCGATATTCATTTTTTTTTCGAAATGAGATTTGATATAATTGCTTCCTTCATAGAGTGACAAGCATTTGTTTAACATATTCTACTTACGTTTATACTGCATCAGCAAAGCTCCCACTTGCATTGAGTTCAACTTAAAACAAACAGCGGATAAATTGGCTAGATCCTCAGGAGCATACTTTGGCGCTTGAAGTAGATGAGCACACTGAACTATCTTCGCTAGGTGGCACTCAGCAGCTAGTTCCAAGCCTTGAGATTCGGCCCATGCCTGCAGATTACGTAGCCTATTGCCTAAACGGACACCGAAATGCCTCGTACACAGGTTGGCGTTCGAGACTACAGTGGCGAGCCCTTTAGCGGAGATCCAATGGAACAATTGGGAGAACAGTTGGATGGTCAGAGCTGCATTTACTCTGTAATTCAGAGATTGGATGGTTGATTGTCAGGTTTCAACGAGAGAAATTATAGGGAAGAGATTGCTGTACGCCCATTTATAAAAGACGACGTACTTAACGCTCGTTGTTTAGCACAGGTGTTGAGAATAATTGGAATTCATAAAAGTTATAGGGCTACTCTGTAACAACCCAGAAAATAGAAGCCTGGCTATCGCGAGAAGTGCCATATGATATTTTTCTTTGCTTTATCATTCAAACAAACACTTAACATTTGGCAATGTTAGTCAGAATCTAGCATTCATACCATTAAATACTTTAGGAATAAAATTTTAACCTTGTATATCGTTAGAATACGGCCAGATATTTTATGTCAAACTGCCAAAACAATAAATGTTATTTTATGCACATTTACCAGATATCTAACATCCACAGTACAAGTACGGGGCCACATTCTGTTGTGGCAGAACTCATTTCGTCGCGCCAAAGCTAAATTGATTTTTTTTAAAATACTCCATTAGACAAGAAATTGAGTTTGCAGCATGCGAGGAGCACACTTTATGAACATATAATATAGCAATCGAGAAGATGTCACATAATAATAATCCGGATCTTGCCGAACTACTCTTCATGGTCCATTTTTTTAAATCCCCTTCCCCTTAAGTAATTACGAAAAAGTTTTTTGGTACGACCATTTTTTTGACTTCTCGGATTATTCTGAACAAAAAACGTCCTTTTTACTCTAATTTTAGTCGTTTTCAAGCTATAAGTCTCGTAATTTCTGAAAAAATCCCTAAAAATGATCATCTTCAATGACTAAAAGCTCGTTTAAAAATCATTATTTCTGCGCTTTCCAAGAATTTAAATTAAAACTAAAATCTTACCCTATAATGCCCGGAGCACTCAAGGATTAATTTCTTTTAAAGCAAAAAAAAATTGGTTTCAGCTTCAATTTAATGTATGGTATATACAATTCCGAAAATTTTGGCGTAACAAACTAGCTTAAAAATCGCTTTAAAATAAATATTAATCTTCAAATAGTCTACGTGATCTTGTCTGCATTTAATTTAGATCCTTGTCATCTCGAAATAATTAATTAAAAGAGTTTTTAATCGTTGAAGATGACCATTTTTATTGGTTTTCAGATATTAAATGCCGTATAGCTTGAAAACGGGTAACTTTAAAGTTACTGGGGACCTTGATCCGAGAAATCAGAAATAATGACCGGATAGCAACAAACTAGTACTCTCAAGAGGGGAGATGATTAAAAAAAGTGAACCAAGTAGTGGTCCGGCAACATGAGGATTGTTATTATTTGACCTCTACTCAGATTGTATCTGGTCATAAAATGCGGTCCTGACATTTTGCAAACTCAATTCCGTCCACTGCGTGGTCTGCAATAAGTATTTTTTTAGAAATTGCATGAAAGGGTTTTGTAAAGACTAAGCAGCGCTTGGATTCAGCGAATTTAATTCTTTTCGGTGACTCTTTCAAGGTTTCTTTTAATGCGGCGTAAAAAAGTGAAGTTAATTATACTCTGACGTTAGTTCGTATACCCACCGGCATTTCCTTAACAAGTTCATGGCAGCACTGAGCGTATTAATGATCTCCCTTGGATGATCATCCCCTGCCACAGACATCAAGTAGCCCATGGCTTGACCCAACTCATCTGTCAGGCAGGCTACCAGGTTCTTAAAGGCCAGCTGCACCGCATCGGCTAAAGTATCTTGAGCTTGTAGCGAAAAGGCAGAGACGTGCCTGTCGGATTTCAAGAAGTGAAGAAGTTCGCTAGCGTTTGCTAGCCAGAATGCTTGTGACATGCCGTCCGTACTTCGATCCTGGAAAAAAAGGATAGAATTATGAATTCAAAATAGGGGTTAGCAGGTACAAACTAACACGATTTATATATATATATATATATATATATATATATACAGGGTGGCGCATCGAAAACGAAACAGACGCATTTACTGGCAACTCAGTTTTTTTTAAAAACGCTCAGACCCGTCGATTTTGTTTTCGAGGGGGACACAAGTTTGACAAAAAATCACGTTAACATTTTACTGGAGCGTTTTTTTTGTGGCAAAAAAGTTATTTCTTGAAGAAAGATAAGGAAATATCTCGTACTTATTTTAAATAGGAATTTAGTACGTAGTTTGCGATTGATTTGACCAAACTTTGTTGCTAAAATAACTTGTAACGCTTTGTAACATCATTAGAAGACCTGCGACAAAGAATTGTGAATGAGTGCCTTCAAATTACTCCTCAAATATTGCAAATTGTGCGGCAACGTTTTGAGCAAAATCTTTATTATTGCATGGAGAGTCATTGTGGCCATTTTCAACATTTACTTGCCTAACGGGTCAGTTTATTCTTCATTTTTTAAATTACTTTGCTGCCAAATGTATTGATCTCCACTAATGATGATGTATTAGCTTTATTTAAGCTTTAAATCAATAAATCTTCAAAACTACTGAACTGAAATACATTAATTTTATATCATTATAAAGGGAATTGAAAGACCTTTAAAATAAGTTATCACTCGACCCCCCTTTCCATTTAAGATTTTGGGGGTGGTGTCAGCCCCGCTTAGGGGGCTGCACGTGCTGACGTGATTTTTTGCCAAACTTGTGTCCCCCTTGAAAACAAAATGGACGGGTCTAAGCGTTTTTCAAAAAAAAAACTCAGCTGCCAGTAAATGCGTCTGTTTCGTTTTTGATGCCTTGTATATACAGGGTGACTTCGAAGTTGAGTCATTTATTTTAACAGTGAGTAGATCTGATCAAAAGAAATGTTTTTTTCCTTTACCATTTTTCAGGTAAAATTAAAGTAAAAAAGTTATAGCCCTTTGGAAGTTTGAGTACCGCCCTGTCTAAATAATAATTATGTGCTCGTGTTTGGCGACAACGGATATAATCCGCCTTATCGGTTCATCGCATCGGAAACAAAAAAGCGAAAGAATTTGGAACGATGTTTTTACAATTATTTCATTCAGTTGTATACAGTCAGTGTCAGTCGGTAGTGAATAGTGGTGTAACTGTTGCGTGGCTCAAACGAAATAAAAAATGGCACATGTTTATGCGGATCGGTTTCCCAATCGAGTGCAACCAACCCCTCGTGCCTTTGTTAATGTAGTACAACGGGTTCGTGAATCAGGTGACTTAAGACCTCACATATGGACGGCATGCCGGTGCTCCAAGACCTCACGATCAAATACAGGTCCGCACTGAAATACTTGTCGGGAGGATACTTTATAAAACAAGGTAAAAATTTTTTTTTATTTTTACACACATATTTTGGTTTATCTTCCTTCTACAATCATTATCTGAAAATTAATGACTCAACTTCAAAGTCACCCTGTATATATAACAAAAAAAAAACTGCATTAACCCACAAAATCTGTTTTTTTTTCAAAAAAACTTAGGTTTTTACCTACCCTGTCTAAATAGCACACCTTTTGGAATCTGAGGAACATGGTGTTTCATACCGAGCGCGAGCAGTCGTTGATCCGTCTCTCTTTTGATGACGTCAGAGGCATACTCACGACACGACACAAATACAGACTGCTGTTTGTAGGTATAATCCTATGCATAGGACCCCAATACTTGATGGCGCTATGCGCTTAGCATTCATTTGTTAACACCACGTTTGAATGTAACTTATGAAACTGGTTGTTTCGCTGATAAATGAAAATAAAAAATTGGTATACTTTGAAAAAGACCACCGAGTTGGTCGAAAGATAGTGAACTTTCAATTCAACATAAATATGTATGTGGTTTCATTTGGCGGACAGCAAAATATGTTTCCTTCGTAGAACATAGAGAAGACCTGCAGCGGTATGTTTTTTTATACCGAAGCAGTCTCATAGGCAGAAGCGTAAATACCGGGGCAACGCGGCTACCATACGGACCTTAAAAATACTTTGTTAACCCGATCTATATCTATACGAGAAGTTAGATCTTGAGGAAAAAGAAAATATAGACAAGTGATGTTCAGAAGCCAGAGATAAGTGGTGCTGTGCGTGAACTGCGCTTACCGAACGGTCTCGACCGACGCACTGCTGGTGGTGGCTGGCATTCCGCCAATTGATTTGCTGGGTGAGGAGAGATGCGCACTCTATAAAAAGACGCCGAAGCTAGATGCAACTGGCCATGATGTATGTAGGAACTAAAAGACTGATCTCAGATTTCAAAACTAGGATTGATAAGGGAGCGGTGAGGATAGTCTATACTGCACAGTTCCTTTCAGGACATGATTGCTTTGACAGCTTCCTGAAAGGATAGGAAGAGAGAGTACACGAACAAAGTATACTGGAACGAAGAGTATGATACTCCTAATAATCTACTACAATTTGTTAGATGGGCTGACTACCAGAGACAGCTAGAATTGGTGCAGGAGGACAAAAATAGACCAAGGAACCAATAATAGGTTCCTACTAGCAGGTTGTCCATGTACATAGAAGTACATATGTACTACTAAATACCTTTGGTATGAAAACTTGGAGCAACGCTACCCACCATGAGAAAATGCTGTAAGCATCACCGTGGTGGGAGGTGTAGCAAACGACTGGAGAATCTCATACTTGGGGGCAGGAGACCCTGATAGGGCAATAGTATCGAGCTTTTTTGCCTGAGAGTTGAAATAAAAAAAATCCAATTTTCGAACTGCATAAGGTTAGTCTTAGTGGAAAAGCCTTATCAGGCTCTCCGATTGTTCCACATCAATCTCGACACCCTATGGACAAAGGAGCGGCCGTGTACATGTTACAGAATGCAGAGGTATGAGAATTTTTAAGCTCGAACTAGGGACCACGATTTATTAGTTCTAGCAAACACAAGATAGAGCTAGTCACCATGAAAACAGCTTGTCCATGTGCAGCGTTTTTGAAGGATTTTGAGGAACTGAAGGGATTTCAGACAATGTGTTATTCCTTAGGGATGCCAGTAAAATTAAAATAGTATATTTTCTCAACTTCCTTCTTACCTGTACAGTGTGCCTGATGAGCATAGCAGCATGCTGCAACAGTAACGTCAACTTATGCGCTCGTTCTGTAGGTGTCAGCTCAGGTCGGTAGTGGGTAGAGGCTCGGTACCGCGCGCACAGGTACAGCGTGTAAGCGGGCGCGAGTCGGAATGTGGGCGTGGTTACGTCCAGATGAGTGATCACTCGGGCCAGGAATTGCTCTTGAGGTTCCTCGGGGAACTCGAGTACGGCCGGGAGGATGGGGTCTTGTCCGCGGGGATACCTGTCGATACCGCTCAGCCTGCAATTGGGGAAAATACGTGAATATAGATAAAGCCATGATACTAAGAACGTCTTCTTCCTCTCCATCTCTCACATTAACGCTAACCGTCCAACTAAATTAGAATGCGTTAATAGCCCGGTCAAAGATCAATTTACATCTAACAGAATATCTATAGTGGATGAAAATTTGGACTTATTGAAGTATTAACGTTCCGGATCCTACCATAGGCAGGAACTGAACATTTTTTTGTTACGGCCATGTAAATATTATATATAGAAAAGAAGTTGTTAAGGCAATTTTGTAGGTAAAGGAATAAACTTCAGAAGTTGTCGTTACAACATTTTCATATCTAGGTTCGTTCGAGAAATTATGCTCTTAGCGCTCTCATTAGGCCATGCGTACATGCTCGTTTGAGGCATCTGATTGATAAAATGGTTTATTTCAACCATTTACCAAGCTCTATGGTTAATGAAAATTCCAAGAGATGTAAAGAAAAAGCCAAATTTTAAGGTGATTGTATTAAAATTCCTCCAAAAAATTATCTAGTGGAAAAATATATTTCGGAGTGTAAAGATTTTTTTTGAGGTTAAGTGCTATTTTATAGGCCTTTAAGCTTTTCAAAATCATCTATGCAAAACACTCTTGTAGATTTTTATTTTCTATTCGCTGTATAATAGTACTGAAGAGCAAAAATGTCTACTTTCTAGAAAAGAAAATATAGAACAATAAAGTCTGACTCTGTTTTAGTCATTCTTCAAAGCAAATTTTCTTGCAATTATTTAACAGTATCTTGAAGAGAAGTAAATAAAAATCTTCAATAATAATAGCACGAAGAGTTGAAAGTGTAATACTGAAGATACTAAACAGTTTTTCTGTTATTTAATTTAAATAATATTTATATTTCATGGACAAGTGCAAAAAATGTTTGTAAAACCTGCAAAACTTTTTTCATTGTGAACAGTTTCGGGTGACCATTTGAGAATATACTAAAAATAAAACTAATCAACAAAGACGCAAAAACATGCGGATTGAAGTTAAAAACAGTTTTGAAAGCTAGCACATCAGTTATTTTGCTGCAAAAGTAGAACGTCTGCCTTGAAACATGAAGGAACCGAATTAAATTTCTGACACCAGCCAATATTTTTTTCTTTTTTTCCAAGTTTTGTAGTCCACAAGCGGTAGAGTTACTAATATTATATACATTATGGTCAAATGGCATTTTATGCAGCGTCAAAATATAAGTGACTGCTCTGTCACGTACCTCTCCGGCTCATATTGATATTATTGCGTGCACAGCTACTGGCCAGTAGTAATGCAAACATTTGATGATTTAGATACGGTATTTGATTTAATGCTCATAAATAAAAATTAATTTTTGATAGGTTTAGCGACGCCAAAATGCCCTGTCAGTGAGATTTCTCTGAAAATAATGTTATCTCAACTTGAAGATCGGAGTCGATAAGTTCATGACATACCCATTCCAAATGGCCAACTTTCCGTAACAAGCACAATGCTTTATTGTACTCGGTCAGCTATGCGCATTTTTGTATGGAATTGATTATATTTCATAAGCGAATGTAGATATGAAAATATCATAGAAAAGACTGTTGAAGCTCATTCATCGAGCTACACAATTTTCTTAACTTTTTTTTATATATACAGGGTGTTTTCAAAGTTGAGTCATTTATTTTAACAGCTTGTACAACTCGTCAAAAGAAGTTGATATACCAAAAATCACATATATAAATTTGCATAATAAGAGAGTTAGTTTATATTATTAAGAATTATTTAAAAAAAACATTATTTAGTGTGGTGGAGCTCCTTCATGTAAGAACCACATATTCGGTCTCACATTCAGGAACATCTAATAATTGTGGCAGACTGTGTCGAAGAAAATCTACCGGTCATTTGAGGTGGTATAAAATAGTGCCCAATAACCATGCCATTTACCACCCCAGCCCTAACATTTAATGAAAATCTATGTTCAAAATGGGTTCTTTGTACAGCATGAGGATTTTCTACTGCCCAAACATAATTGTTGTAGAAAGTGTGCACTCCATTTCTTGTAAATGTGGCCTCGTCTGTACACAATATTAATTTCGTAAAATCTTCATTTCTGCCGAACTGTTCTAAAAGCCAAGGCAAAATGCAACTCTTCTAGGATGATCTTCAGGTTGTAACGCTTGTACCCGTTGATAATGATGAGGATAATACTGTTCTTGTCGTATTGTCTTCCACACTTTACTACGAGAAACTCCAACTTGAGCTGCTATGGCTCTGGCACTCATTGTTGGGTCGTCCTTCCACCATTTCTAAAATGTCTTCCTTAATTTGTAACATTTCAGGTTGAGTAGGTTTGCCAGCGTGACCTGGTTGATCTTTTAAATATCCTGTCACCAAGTCTAATAACTAAATCTACAAACATTCGTGGGGCCGGATAACTTCTTAAAGGAAACCTTTCCGGATTCAACCTGCACGCTGAGGCTGCATTTTATTGGCACTCTCCGTATGTTAGTATCATGTGCACTAGTTCATTGTTTTAGTAAACATGGGCCATTTTTTCGCACAAAATAGTCAGAAAAATGAAAGTATACGCACTATTAAAAGACTGATACAGCTGATCGAACAAAAAACTCGTACTGAAAACCATACAATAACACAATAAGTTTGCCAAATTTAGATAAACGACAAGAGTGGTAAACAAAAAGCGCTAAGATTTCACGTGGCAGTGGGTGAGAATATCAACAAATCTGTGTACAGTGGACCCCCGATAATCCGGCCCCTGTCTAATCCGGCGCCCCCTGTAATCCGACATGTATTTGAATATTACATACATACCTATTTGACAATCTTCGCTAATGTAGATCACGCACGTTTGAACATGTTACAATTTGAGCATTGTTTTCTTAGTTTGAATTTGAGTACTTGTGATAGCGGTACGGCCTAGCATGCGTTCATTGTTTACTATTTATTCATTGTATATTAAGTATAGTACCTAGTAATGTCATCACAAACTCAGAAGCGAAAGCACAAAATATTGACAATTAAAGAAAAATGGCGTAGGCCGATCTACAATTTATGACATTAAAAGAAACCATGAGAAGATCAAGAAATTCGTGTCAACTACTGACTGCGGGCCAGGCAAGAGACAGACACTCAAGAAAGCTGAACATCCAGAAGTGGAAGAAGCTTTGTACATGTGGTTTCTTCAGGAAAGAAATAGGCATGTACCAATTTCAGGACCCATGTTGGCCATTAGAGCTAAGTTTTTTTATAAGGAAATAACAAAAAAAGATGATTTTGTGGCCAGCAAAGGTTGGCTAGAACGTTTTAAAAGTCGTCATGGCATACGTTTAATGACTATTACAGGAGAGAAGCTTTCTAACGATGCCACCTACATAGAGCCCTTTAAATTAAGATTTTTGCAAAAGGTGAACGATTTAAATCTTGACCCGTCACAGGTGTACAATGCAGACGAATCAGGGCTTTTTTCGCGTGTGATGCTTAACAAAACTTTCGTTTCTTGTAACAAAAAATCCGTACCTGGACGAAAAGTGAGTAAAGGGCGTGTAACCATACTACCATGTGCTAACGCTGCGGGCACACACGCGCTTAAGATGATGGTCATTGGGAAATCTAATAAACCACGGGCATTCAAAAACATTGATTTACCTGTACACTATTACGGACAAAAAAGTGCATGGTTTTACAAAAGACCTTTTCCAAAAGTGGTTTGATGGATGCTTCGTACCTGAAGTTAGAAAATGGTTAAAAGATCATAATTTTCCTCAAAAAGCGTTGTTGCTTCTTGATAACGCTCCCGGTTATCCGTCTGAAGAAGAACTAACAACTGAGGATAAATGCATCACTGCGATATTTCTTCCGCCAAATTGCACTGCACTGATTCCACCAATGGACCAGAATATCATTCAGTTTGTCAAGCAAGACTATAAGAAAAACCTACTTCTGAGAGCCGTACCAAAGACCAAGCAATAGAAAAAACTTTAAAAGAATTTAATATGAAAGACTTGGTTTTTGCTCTTTGTCAGTCGCGGAATGCGTTACCGTCATCAACTATTAAATCGTCTTGGAAAAAGTTATGGCCAGATATAGTCACCACTCATTGCAACGTTCCACAAATCAGTGTAACTTCGGAAGTTATAGAACAAGTCGCTGCTGAAACACAGATAAGTGCGGAAGATTTGTAAATCTGGTGCCGTGGAATGGATAAAGAGGAAAATGTTTATCATGAAATGTCTGACGAAGAGATTATAAAAGAGGTTTCTAATTATACAACAAACAATCAGGAAAATAACAACGACGTGATTGCAACTGCTCCACAAGTCACAGCACAAGACGCAATTAACGCCTTTGAGCTAGGTTTACAATGGGCTGAAGAGAATGGTACATCCTACAATGAACTTTTACTTTTGAGAAGACTGAGGGACAAAGCTCTGATCTCGCGTTATAACAACCTTAAACAAACAAAAAAAAATGATGAATATTTCCAAACTTCATAATTTGATAAATTCATTAATGATTTTGATAATTCTTGATTATTTTGGTACTTATGTATGTGCATTTATGCTTAATTTTATAATAAAACGTAAGCTCTCTATTGTTATTTAATTTACTAAATTCGACATACATAAACTATGTTGTATGATTTGTACTTCAAAGTACATACATATACGTAACATACATATATAATCTTACCATTGGATATGTAATTTGTCCGATTTCAAGGTACTCTTTCGTAAAAAAAGACTATAGGGGATCTTAGGCAGTGCTCTATAATCCGACAAATTCGATAGTTCGACACTGCCCTGGATAATGTTTGTCGGATTACCGGAGGTCCACTGTATTTCTTTTATTGTGCAACTTTCATATAGATGATTTTTGGAGTATCAACTCCTTTTGACGAGCCCTACCAGCAGTTAAAATAAATGACTCAACTTTGAAAACACCCTGTATATTTAGTTTTCAAACAATTTTTAGTACCTGTCTACCGCCGGATTCGAACTTTTCGTTATTCTTTAGAATAAATACTACTTCAATTACATAAATCTAAAATTTCTTTCACTAGAGATTTTTTCAGGGTTATGGTGAAACTTGTTGCTTTAAAGGGGCTATAAGAAAATTGTAATGAAGTAAATGGGACCTTTCTTTTTACCTGAGTGCCATATGATCGGCGGTCCTTCAAAATTAATGCCCTTTTTCTGGAGTCACCTCATTCTTTCAGGAAGTCAATTCTTGCGAGCAATACAATAGAATCCTCGCTGGAGAATAATCAAAGTCTGGCAGTTCATGAATGATAAGTGCAATCATTTTCGGCAAAATAAAATATTCATGTTTTTCATATTATTTAATGTTTCATCAAAACGTTGACTTCATCTTCCAATATGAGACCAATGGACCGTAATTCTGGAAGCGAGTATTCTATCAGTGTTCAGAAATGTAATTCTTGAAAGGTGATAGGTAAAGGGAGAAGGCGAGCTTTTTCGTTTTACTGGTTCATTCAACGAATTCAAGCGTCCGCTCATTTTATAACATTCAAACTGTCAAGACAGTCAATGCAAATGAGGTGTCTTTAGAATAAGGACGTCGCAAGTTGAGGAGATACGGTCTAAAAGACACTTGGTTAGAAATATCCCCAATAATTAATGTTATCACTTAGGAGATTTGAGATTTACAAGACCAGAGACACGTTACATCTCGCTATATCAAAATCAGTTTAAGAAAACAAAATTTTTTGTCCGAGGCGACCGTATCTTGGAAAGCATAAATAGCAAAATAACCTGTGAAACTTTCAATGTGTCAAAATAACTGTTAATATGTTTTACTATACATTATATTGCAACAAGTGATAATTTGCATGCAAATGTTAAATAATGAAACTGATTAATTATTTATTAGTTAATGTAACAGACTATCACGAATATATGTTATGCAATGATAATTTCAATAATTCTACGGAAAACGGGAGGATATAGATAAATAAATAATGTAAAATGCATCTAGATACTGTAAACTGAATTAGAATATGATTATGCTTAAATTACGGAATTTGCTAAGTGAAAAATATATCAATGTCATATGTGAGAACACGTAAAAGTACAAATATTAAAACTATATTCTAATACTGTCTTCGAAAAAAACTACTGTTGTAGGTTACCAATAACAAGTTCGCACACAGGGTAGCATAATGTTAATCACAGATTGTCCTCGAATTAATAATGACCTTGGTTTTATGGGTCAAATTGTGTGTTGTCATAGAGTATTCAATTCAAAATCCTGTTCATTGTTTTTGGAAAGGCCTGCAATCGACGTTGATGTACGTGTCTGTAAATGGATAGGTCAAACTCTACCTATTCTCTGACGATGAACCCAAACTTCTGTTGTCCTCCCTGGCCCCACTTGTGGTAGATACCGTTTCCACATTGCCTTCTAAATCGAAAGTGGTCTCGATGTTCTCCCTGACAGGATCTGTGGGACTGAGAGCTCTCGGCGAACGACTGTGAGTAACAAGCAACACAAAAAAAACATAAATAGCATACAAAAAAATAAAAAGTGAGGGTTAGATGAAGTGTGATACATAAAAATAAGAAATAATGCATGCAGACCCATGCTATAAATAAACATACATATAGCTATAATAAAATACCATGTAGCTGTTGCTAAAGACGATTGACAATACAATACTATAAAAAGTTTAAAACTGTTCTAATAAAATGTCGAATGGAAATATCGCTATATGATCGATTTTATTTATTATAAACTGAAACATAATATTCAGCTTAGAAAAACAGGATAAATTAATTATGATGGTTACACCATATTTAGATAAAATGACACTGAAATATTAGCTGTATCGAATTTCGATGTAAAATTCTTGATTAAATTACTTAAAATATTGCAGTAATGATAAATTCGATACCATTTGTAATCATGTTTGTTTTTGCCGGAAGCATTTAGTGTATGTACCAACGGTTGATTATTGCATACGATTTATGCCAGATTTTTTATAATACAGGAAAACAATATACTTCATATTTTGATGTATTACTCTGGTATCATTCTATAGAGATTATATAATGAATAGAATGAAACTCGTACTCATGTTAATCACTTGGGAATAAGACTTTAGACTTTTGAAAATGTTCATTATCTGCGATTTTCCTTGAAAGTAAATTTTTTGACCAGGCGTTTAAAAAAAATTTAATTCACTTTTCGGTTCTGTTTTTATTATCAGCATTCTTACCTAAATGCCTTAATAAAGTATTCGAAGAAATGAGATATAGATTTTTAAGTCTTTTACGAGTGTTCGACATTTTCCTATTATCCAGATGTGCCAGCGTGAACGTATCAAGTTCCACTGTAACGTAAAAGTTTTCCCGCGCACTGCATTTGGAATGTGATGACATGAAAATTGGGCTTTCATCAGATGACAGGAAAATTACCTTTATGCTTTGACGCTGCACGTTTGACATGAAGTTCTATTAATAGCCGGATTAAAAATTAAACCATACTTGCTAGTTCCTTCCTTCTCTTGTAGTGCACGAATTTCAAATACGTTTTATCCGAACAAACCCTAAAAACATGGATGTAGCAATCTATTTTAGCTATTAAAAGTCCTAAGTCATCCTAGTGATTTTTATCGTAATAGTACTTATGCCTTGTAGTGCAATAAATGTTTTTTATGATAAAATGTCAAAATCAAAGAGCTTCTTCAATAAGTAGGAAAAAAATTTCTTCCACGGCAAAAAAAAATTGTTACATTATGAGGTCAGGACGAGGAAAAATGCATTATGTCGCGATTAGAACTAATGTAGCACAGTTTTGGCGCGACATTTTGTCTGAATTTTGAGGATACTTTGTGCCACTTCGTTTAAAGAAAAAGCAAAAACGTACCTCTATAAGTTGGGACTTTTTTCTCGGAAACTGGACATAAATTTACTGTTTGGAGATGTCGCCGTTTGATTCTAACATCACACATTTATTAATTTCCCAATTTGCAACATTCAGGACTGTCTAGGACTTCCACTGTGCCCACCGCGACATTCCTACAAGCGGCGTTTGTACGAGATAAACTAACCCACGCGGCGCGTGAAGAAAAACGTACAGGATAGCGATTTGTGAAGCTTCAGCATCATCTTGAAGTCTCCGTAAAATAACATGATATCGGCAAGTTCGTAATTACAGGAATGAGCCACTTTCATTTTTTTCAAATACGATTTATAAACAAGTAGCTCGGTTTACCTACAAGGCGCCTGGTTACTGACGCGAGTCGTGTCGTCTCACCTAATCCTTTGCTCTCGCCAGAGCTAGATTTGTTTTGATGTTTATTTTTACCCGTGTGCTATGTTTTTCGCGCGTGTGTATGTCGTATGTAGAGAAACAATTATATTTCACAGAATACAGTTCAAACGGCTTGATGGATTTTGACATATGAGGCCGTGTTTAATTGGTCTTAGCAGTGCGAGCGACTTACTGTCTACTACAACACTGGGTATATCAAAATTTTATAAAATCAAAATAACGGATTTCAACTTTGCGATATCTATTTCGCGGAACTTGCATCGTACATTAATTTTCATCGTGCAAATTCGAAAGAATGCGTCATCTTTAAAGTAAACATAGACTTTCTAAATAAACAATTTTTAGTAATTCAGAAACAACACAGCACCGGCTACTGCCTTCCGTGGAAAATATTCAAAAATAAATTAAAATTCAAAATGTCATTGTCTCGTAAAAACAAAACTGAACCAACTGAAGATTCATTCTTTTCAGTAACTTCAGTCGTATTTTTTAAAACTGTACACTATACTGCCGTACTTAGGTAAAAAGCAGTAAAGTTCATTGGCTGTTTTTTTATTTTGGCGTCAATACAATTACAAAACATATCATTGATCACGTTATTTAATAAAAATTATTAAATTAAATGATGATTACTTACTTAGTTTTTTATGTAACAATTCTATTATTTGCGAGTAAGTATTTATCACTATAAATAATTACTTTTGTTCCGAAATAATATCTAAAAGTATTCTTCATTTAAAGACTGTCAAACATGTTCATTTATATAATTGTTTTTATTGAATGTGATTATTAAATGTAATGATATAATTATTAAATTGAATTATTGGATTTTGGAAAGGTTCACTTTTGCGCTATTCAAGTTCAATATTAAGAAATTATATTAAAATAAAAATCTGCACAGATTACGAATTTCAGAGTATAAAAGCAGTAAATCACATGTTAATGCTTTTTGATTTTTGACAATTAAAGACGGTATGTCATGTAACTTTGCAATGTTCATTCGCTTTTGTTCTGTTATTTAGTTTTGAAAAAAAAAACAGAATTTTGAACTCAATTTTCTCAGACTTCGATTTGCACACTTTACTGCCTATTACCTAAATACGCTGTGTGAAGCTAAGTCACAACTTTAAAAACGCCGTCTTTAGAAAAGTTAACCATCTTTTTGCGAGTGATAATAGAGTAACATTTTCCATTGAAACCATCTCTACACGAAACCTAAGCGGCCATCTAAGCATCCTAACCACAAATCCTCGTAAGATCCCTCACCTGTCATACAACCTCGCCTGTCCATTATCCAATCCCGCCTGGGGCGCTACCCTGTGCTGCAGTCTCTCTTCATGCTGGGGGTCCACAAACCGGTACGTATTGCTGTGTCCGAACTTGACCAAACTGCCGTGCTGCAGTGGCGCCGTCTGGTGGATGCGTTGACCGTTAACGTAGGTGTGCGCGTCAGGGTGACATGGGGTGACGGTGGTGATACCCGAATCTGGGGCGTGGGTGATTACGGCGTGGCGAGGTTGGATGTGCGGGCCGTACAGTTGCAGACCGATGCCGTTGGCGCTGCCCACCTGCAAAGAGAATTAAAAAATACAGGAGGTGCTACAATACAAGAGCTTCGCAAGACAGCAATTTTTGCAAGACCAAGACTGTTGCAAGACTTTGCGGTCTTGTAAAAATTACTTGCCGAAAATGCTGACATCTGACAATTTCCAAATTGAAATTGTTGAATAATGTCAAAAATTGAGATTTAAAATATCAAGAAAATATTATGGCACTTTACACGTTATAAAAATCTATGTTTGGTTTGCACCTTCGGTCGGCATCAGAGTTTTGTGCGGCAAAGGATCAAATATGTATCTTGCCCCCATATTCATTAAGAATTTTACGCCTCCCATGACACTATGCCCTGAGGCGGCTTTTCTGCAAATTTCGTCAAGTTTTAAGTAATTGTATCAATATTCTGTATCTAATATTCTCCACCCTTATCGATAGAAAACTGGTTGATTTACAGGCTAAAATTTTGATTGTTACCTTTTGTTCCAGAGCAAACTGAGAGCCGAATTTTCTATATACAATATACATAACATATTCTGATGTTTCAGCGGCATGGTGAATAGACTTTTTCCCTTAATATAAGCACAAACCCCTATCATGTTTCTAACGACTTTGGTAGTAACGGAATATTTTGAACATATTTTTTCGCGTATATACGGGGGCTGACCAAGAGTACAATTTTTGTATAGAAAATGATGACCATTACTTCAGAAATTAATAATTTCGTAATGTACATGTCGTGTAAAAAACATTTCAGAAACTATCACGATTGCAATAATAATAATAATGTGTCTTTATTTTTGGGTTAAAAGAACAACTAAGAAAAAACTCATTTAATGAGGGAGGCGGCATTCGACACCGTTGCTCTTCCATGCATCCCCCGTAATACTATACTAACAATTACAGATTAATAATAGATGTAATTAATACAACAAAAATAAAACTATTGTAGTCTTTTCACATGGGATTTGACTCTATTTCGGAAGCTACTAAGTGAGAGCAAATGTTTTACTGTATTTGGCAATGAGTTGTACATTGTAGATGCAACATGAGTAAATGACTTTTTAAACTGTTCAGTATTATGGAACAAAACATCATAGATTACAAGTACGAGTTTGCCTATCATGAAGATCCGATCCCTTAACAAGTTTGGTATAGAGGTAAAGTGGTAGCTTGTTGTTAATATTGTAAGTTAATACTTCTCCACCAGTAGGCGTGGAAAGTAAAACATGTGTTTCATAATTCAGTTGACAAGGTTTAAATTGTAATATTTTCATAAAAACTTCTAACTCCCTTCACTAATTGCACCTTTTCACATTGTACAAGCACTGTAACGGTAGCAGAATTTTTAGCAATAAAAATTGTCTTAAATATGAACGCATTTAGAATATTTACATGTATCGTATCCTTAAAGCATGGCTTTCCCTAAACCTACATCGATTCCATCAGTTATAGGATGTGAATAATTGATAAGAAACCGGAAGTGTATCAACTCCTCCCTGAATAATTATTGCGTTAGAGCTAACTCATATTTAGTTATTCACTGCAGATAAAGTTAAAAAACTTGGAGGAATCGTATGCACTGAATTATATATTAGTGAAGAATACCTGTACCTATAGTAACAAGTTGATTCTGCACTTCCTATGCAACGCCGTCATCAGTGCGTAAAAGATTGAGTTCAGCGCAATTGAACTAATCTGAGATAAGTCAGTTACGAACATGCACAACAGAGAAATTAAACGGATCAAGTCAGTCATACCAGTACATAGTATTAGTGCAAAGACATTCTTTCTCTGCCCTACCGGAAGTTACTGTCCATCTGGTAATGTTGCCTTTGAATTTTTTTTTGAGTTTTTGTCCCTACCTCTGCCGCCACCTGACCAATTTAAAAAACTACAAAGCTTTTTCGCCCTTGGTATAGTAGTGACCTTATGTGAAAATTTCAACCAAATCCGAGCAGCAGTTATAGGCGGTCCAAGGATTAACGGACAAACAGACATACATACAGAGCGACAGGTAGACAGACCGACCTAAAAGACTGACATGGTTTTTCGAAATTTATCGCGATTACAATACTCCCTCGCTCAATGGCGTACGAAGTAAAAGGCCAAAACCTATCAAGCATTATTTAATTTTTAATGTTAACATTATTACATCAGACACGATTAGATAATGCAACAGTTTAAGCAAGATAAACCCATAAAATATGTGTTAAACTGACATTCATCCAATGGCGTTCATGTTGATATGACTCCATCGTCTGGCCGTAAAATCAAACTTCATATGTTCACCACTTGAAAAAGGCTACCAATGGAGTCCTACCATAAAATATGTTTTAAATAATAATGAAAAAAACGTTTGTTGGGAGTAAACCAACAGTTTCAAGAAACGCACACTAATCTCTGATACTGTTGTTTCTTATTTTGTTCCTGCTCTACCAGATTCCAAAGATAGCGTTGTGGTTACCGAGATTTTGCGGCAACAATACATCTGGAGACCAATTTTTATTAATGCTAGGGAATTGCATTATCCTGATTAGAAAATTCCTTTAATTCGGAGTACAATAAAATACTTCTTCCACTCATAGGGTCGAAATTAAGGTTGCAAACATCATAGTGTGACTTCTAGAAAACCGTATAAATATGCACTTCAAGCGAAAGCTTCTTCCTGGGAAACAATGGGGATATTGAACTCTCACCCACCGGTTGGTGTTATGGTACAAAATATGATGATTTATGTAAAATCATTCATTTTCTCACAAATTGTCCATTTCAAGGGTGGATGTATGTAGCCATGCACACCTGCAATTTTGCATGCATAGATCTGTTGGAAAATATTTACCTTTAAAATGCAGCTGTGACGGTTTGTTGAAAGATACGCTTTAAGTAAATCTTTGATTTTTGTAATATGTGGATCGTATGTCGTAAAGAAATATATGTGAATTGTAAATAAAGATATTTCATATGATAATCAATGTTTGATATACACTCATTGAGTAAGAAAATTTGAATTTATCATATTCAAACAGTAATATCAACTACAAAAGAAAAAAATTCTTATACCAGTGTCTGTTATTCACTTTTACATCTCCTTGACATCTCTTTGTTTTGTTTTTCAAGTTCTATTTATAATTTTTGGTTTTTCATTGTTAACCTGAGGGATGTTTGTTTTCCCGTCGGGCATGTTTGAGTTTCTCATTCAAAGTATGTAGTAAAGATGCTCTGGCATTTATAGTTTAATATAAATATTTGTTATTATTTTGAAATCTGCTTTTTGATGTTTCTTTGTAATGTTGCATTTTAAAGAAAATTGTTAAGTTGTTGAAATCTAAATAATCATATACATGTATCAAGTTTTTAATGTGTATACAGACGTTTATTGTCATTGTTTCTGTTTGTTTATTCTGCGGTTTTTATATATTTGTGTATTTTTAGCTGATTTTTTGACTTCATTGTTTGATTTACGATTTTGAATTTGAATTATATTTTTTCAAATTTCTTAGCCCTGAATAGGGCGTAAAATAAACGCCGAAACGTCAAATTTGAAAATAAGACACTTTTTGAACACCTGTGTTCTAGGTATCCCAAGCCTTCAACTCAAAATTGAGACAGATTTGGTAAGCTAAAATAACCAATTCGAAAAGTAAAACCAAATAACGAACATCAATAAACAGCAAAAATCAAAGTCATTTATCGTAATTTGTTGTAGTCTGTATTATAGATAAAAATATCATTTTAGCATAAACCTACATTTAGACTGTTGCAATTGCAATACTTATGGTATATGGAACGCTTGAAAACAATGAAACATTGTTTCAAGTAAACGGCTTTCGTAATACATATGAATAGTCATTCATATCCCATCTCGTCCGACCAGTATTAAAACCACATACGTTAACATTCAATACAGTAGTATCTGTTAAAACCCATTCTGAGGCCTTCAATTGCACTTTCTCGATAAATCTGTCAAATTGAAACAATAGTACATAGTTTTCAATTGGCAGCGATGGAGCTGGGGGCAAAAATTATAAAAAAGATTGACGTTCCTGATCATTTTCAGAAACATTTTTGCAAGGGTTAAAATTGGGTGTAGAGGTAATTAGACACACTTATTAGCCATATTTCACAAATCATAGGTTTCTCCGTACATTTGTCTTTAAAACAGGAAAGGTTTTCGATAGGCGTCTCCTTCTGCTACCTGGGCTCACCACACGGCAGACCGGTATGGTTGACTGTTCTACTTGTACTGCAGCGGTGCCGCGATGGGCGCCGCCGCGTCAGACGGTGTGGAATGGAGCAACGTTGATGGACGGTAACTATCGATAAGGCAGGGACTAATTGTATGGGCCTACTTGACTGAATTTCTTTGTTGTACATATACGTAACTATTTTTTACTCAGAGGAACATATGCTGCATTTGATCCTTTATGAACTGATGTCAGCATTTCAGAGTCAACCTGCTGGATATCAGTTTTTACATGTTTAGTATAAGAAAATCTCTCTAATACAATTATAATGTTATTCTCCAGCATGAAAATGAGCCCAATATGAGCTAATTTGATTGACCCAAAAACACTGGAAAGCCCGTCATAGAAGGCCGTTTTTCTCCAAAAAATTAGAAGCAATTAGAAATTTGCTGAAACGGTTGAGTATATTTGAATGAAATTTTTTGGACGTTAAACATCGCAAACGCTAATATGTCATTTTGAAGGCATTTTCATCTCCTACAACCTTTTTGGGCCACTTACACCAATAAGTCATAATTATTTAGATAGACGCAAAAAACTGATTTTTGCATCTTTGACGTTTAATAAAAAAAAGTTAGCCCGCATTTTTTGTATATATCCGTGAAGGGCCTTTATTAGTCTCCAAAATACATATATTTTATTATCGTATTTCCACTCAAATTCTAGATATCTTGGTCTAATACAGGGTTTGTCCGGAAAGTGATAGGACCGAGTCGATTTAAAAAAAATTATTGAGCCAATCGTTACAATTCTTTAAAAACTTTCAA